ATAAAAACAGAAATTCATACAAAAAACAATGAATATATTATTCTACAAAATAAAAACAATAAAAATAAGATGCACTTACCGTAATGAAAGCTTCTTTTAAAAGCAGAAATATCTTTCCCTCCCCCTTATCTTCTCAGATACAGAGCATACAAAGTCCAAAATACATTCGTTAATAAAATTTCGCCAGTCACACAACGTCTGTGAAGAAAACTTCCACAATTTTGCTATATCAATGCCTTCCTACAATTCAAAGTTTCGAAAGTAACAATAAAAACTTCCTCCAATGTTAACTTGCTACACGAAAACCAAGATCCAAACCTTAAACTCCGCTGACACCACACATACTTTATTAGCAACAATTTACTGCAAACCCACACAAGTCTATCAGAAAGACCATTTTTCGTCCGAGTTCTCATATCAGCTCCGCATTTCGGACACGTCAAACTCCGTTTTAAAAGTCCCGACTCCCACAGAAATTCCAAAAATACACTACGATCCCCAAAAATACATCCGTGAACAAAAGACTCGTTAACAACTCCAACATCGTACGTTTTCATACTAAATTTACTCTGCACACAATCTAAAATACGCAGCTGAAACCTTCCCACCACATCTTTCATCGCAACATAGGCCATTTCAAAAACACACGCGACATGAACCAACTAGCAATTAAACTACTCCACCAAAAGATTTTTCAACGTCGACATGGTTGCCATACAACATGCAATCGCTCCAAAAACCATCGCAAAACATATTACGCCACATTTGGTGAAATTAGGGCGTTTATCTGAGTTGTACCCACTTTATATCTGATGCCAACCTGCCATGTCATTATTTTTTGCGTTCATCACCACATGACTGTGAACACAGGGCAGCTTGAAAAATGACTCAGTTAATGATATCTATCTAATTGAATACTGAAAAGCATTGTAACCTTTTATGTTGATATTATGCAGCTAACTGTGATAGGAAGTGATGAGTATCTTGATGAGGAGAAATTCAACAGAAAAGCAAAAAATATTTTTTGTAAATTATGCTGCATTGGCCAAAAGATTACATTTTTTGCTGCGTGAATTGAGAATAACTGATTTTTTTATTCAGATGAGCCGAAGAATGGTGCCACAACAGAATTTAGGGTAGGCAAATTTTTTTAATTTAAGAAGCAATGAGCAATAAAATTAAGGGATGCAAAATCTTTAGTATTTAGGGAAGGCACTGGGATGTAAACTTTTAAGAGTTTAGGACACACAAAGACTGTGCAAGGCTGCAAAATGTGTAGTTCTGGCTTGGATATGCCTTAAGTGTATGTGCGAGTTTCTTTATTTTAGTCTTAGATGTGCTTTAAGCGTGAAATGATCATTAATATGATAAATAATTAAAGTAAGATAACTCAGGCATAACTTCATGAACAAGTGATAGAAGCAAGATACAATTAGCAGAACATAATGTAGTTAGTCTCTAGTTCTATGATATATCTATCACGAGTAAGTCTCTAGTTCTATGATATATCTATCACGGGTAAGTCTCTAGTTCTATGATATATCTATCACAAGTAGTCGATAATGAATCTATCTAAGCTTTATGATGATAGCTGTGAATTTGAAAGTTTTAGATATCGCAAAGAAAAGTGAAATTTACTAATTAATGAAATTTGTGAGGAATTGTGGAGAACCCAAGTAGCACGGCAACGTCGTAATGATGCTCCAAAAACGTTGCAATATGTCGTCTTTAAGACACCCAGATGCCTGCGACACTTCACTGTTTTGCAACCGTTGCAAAGATGTCTTTATTACGTCTTTGCAGATGAAGTTCTTGCCACGTAGACGTCATTATATTTTGGTTATGATAGCATTTTATCACATCTTAACGACGCCTTAATGTTCGCAAAATTCCACCGTTTTGCAACAGTTCTGAAAATGTCGTTGTTATGTCTTTGTATTACATACTAATTTATGCAGAAAAATAAGCTTAATATAATTTTCTTCTTTTGCAAAATTTTGTATTCTTTGTATTTTTCTAAAGTTTAAATATTTTATCATGTTCTCAAAACCAGAAGATAATACAATTTTTTCTCTCTAGACTAAATATGCATAATTAATAATAGCCATAATTATTTTCAATAATTTAAACTATATTTCTTAAATAACTTAAATTATAAGTTACAATTATTTAAGATTTCATCTTTTTTTTCCCTTAATCCTTTAGTATGTAAGTGAAAATAATTATGAAAGTGGTTATAAATATACAACAATAATGTTAGGTTTTACATAAATAAAACTCAATCAGACATACATAAAAGTAAATCTATATATTTGGGTTAAAAAAAAGCATTTCCGATTATAACAGCATTATCACATTTATTTCTGTTAAATCTCAGAGACATTGAAATTTGCCCCTCATGATAAATTAGGAAGCAGTTCTTATGGTAACATAATCAGTATTTTACTTGAACTCAAGCATAAATTTATTCGTGTTTCATAGTAAAAAATATAACCATTTACTTCTATACCTTCAAGATATGCAAATGGAAAATTGTATAAAGTAGTTAATAAATGTCCAAAATGTTTCATATAAAAATATACCTAAATCTAATAACCAAAAAAAAAAAAAAAAAAAAAAAAAAACTTCCCATATTCATATCTAAAATGAAATAACCTAAAAAAAATACAGTACTATTAAGAAAAAAACATGAACTAGCAGTGTTTGAAAGTATAAATAGGAGGATAACAGAACTAAAATTTCCAATTAATAAAAAAATATCTGTGTAAATTAGAAAGTAAGCAATTAAAAGTGCAATAATTATTGATTGCAATATTTACTAGTAATCTTAATGTTGCTTAACATAATTTCTTTCGATCATATGTAAATATATTTACTTATTTTTAGTTTCTACATTTTAGAATAGTGGTAGATTACAATGATCATTTCATGCACTTTTTATAATCAATAACTTTCTTTTTGGTGCTGTACAGAAATCGTTTAAATAATATTGTATACAATAGTAAGCTAAGTATGTTAAAGTAAGCTCTTTGTTAAATATACTCACTTCCAAAAGTTAAGCAAGATGTAAAATGCAAAAAAAATCAATGAATACTGCTTTGATTGACACAAAATTTGGCAAGAAAGTAGCATATATGTTTATCCATAAAACCAAATCAATAATTATATACAGAAATTAAAAAAATATTTAATTTTTGCAATTTATTACATAATGACATACTGGAGACTTAAACAGAATTATGTATAAAGTGAAAATAAACAGCAAAAAATTTTAAAAAAGGACATTAATAGGGTGTGTGATCCCCTTCATCTGTATACAAAGTTTACACCTTGTGACCATACTTTTAATTAGGTGGTCAACCATCGCAGAACTAAGCAATCGTCATTCTTCTTGTAGAGCAGTTTCCAGCTCAATAAGAGTGGCTGGAGATGAGAAACATGAAGATACAGAACGGCCAAGAGCATCCCAAAGATTTTCAATAGGATTAAGGTCGGGCGAGTATGCTGGCCATGCCATACACACAATCCCTTCACTCTCCAGGTAGTCATCGACGACGTCAGCTCTATGGGGACATGCGTTATCGTCCAATAAAACAAAAGTAAACCCAACTGCTGCAGCATGCAATCTAACAATGGGTTTTAGGACTTGATACTGTACATCCATCAAAGAACCCCATTTAAAGATGTGCAGGTTGGTGTGGTATCCTAATGAAATCCCTGCCCACACCAGAATGCTTCCACCTTGGAATGTGTGCGGTGATGTTTTGGGACTGATTACATGTTCGTTGTTCACGCCATATCCTTATATGCTTGTCATTTGGGTCCAGAGGAAATCTTGACTCATCAGTATACATGAAATTGCCCCAGTCAGACACATTCCAATTGACGTGCTCCCCACACCACTGTAATCGTGCCCCTTTTGATTGTATGAATAGAGGAACACAAACTCGAGGTACCCGGGCATACAGTCCACTCATATGTAATATTTGGCGTACAGTAGCTGGAGATATCGCCTTACCAATGAACGCGCTGTAACCATAGATGTCACACGTGTGAAGGTCGCTCGGCGATTCCGCTTGGCTACAGTAGCAATATATCGATCTTCCTCGGGGGTTGTAACCCTTGGGCGACCGCCTACGGGAACTGTGTGTTTGTTTAGGATTGTTTCCATAAACATAAAATTACAGAATGATGAATGCCGAAGAAAAGAGCAACATCTATGATCGACTGTCCTGCTTCAATGTGCCCCACAGCATGCCAGAATCTTCCATTCGTCTTATGGAAGTCATAGAAACACCTTCTATCAACACATGCAATCAACTTCTGTAATCCTTCATAAAAGCTGGCTTCTTATAAGACTGCCTTTTTTGCATATTTCTTGACATGAAAGCGTGATTAGCTGTTACCTAACATATTTGCATATTTCCATCTACCTCTGCAGCAAATTGCATCCTCTTAAATTCTGAACTTTTTGTTTCTATTTATTATGAATTTCTTCATTATCACAAGCACATAAAAGTAAAAATAGAATATGCTTAAATTTATTGAAGAATAAAACCTAATTTCCAACATTTATTTATTAAGATAATCTAATAAACATACATAACGGCAATATTTAAAAAAAATGCGAATTACACAGTGTTTGGAAGAAAGATACCAAACGAAAAGTAATAAAAGAAGCCTCATCGTGTCCAGATCTTGACTTGTCCAGATACTGAATATTAATGATACAGCACTTGAATAATTGTAAGAAAATTGGTAATTTAATTAGAATGTTAAATGTATGAAAAAACATTTTTGAAACAATAGCCAATGTATATTATAATTATTCAATGAGTAACAATGTAAGGAATAGAGTATGTTGTATGCAGTACTAGTTCAAATTCTGAACAGTTGTTGTTAAAAGGGATCAAGGAACTATTATTCTGAAGAGATATTTGAATGTTTTTAAACTACTTCTCTTCATATTTTCAGTGTTCAAATTTCTTTTTTTTCCTTAGCTCCTACTATGCCACCTGCACCTAGGTCAGTACCAGCACTTCATCCTCTTTTAGTCAGGCAGGAGCCTAGTCCATGTCCTTCCCTGGGACCTCGACTGCACCATCAGCAGAGAGGGTACCGTCCAATAGTTCATCATACATATGGACTATATACCCCTGCAAATGGTAATAGTAGCTCAAGACAACCAAACCCACCAGTCATTTTGCAAAGGTCAGCAGCTTCTCTCAAATTTCCGATACATAAATGAAAATACACATTTTTGCTTATTATATGTTTGTTATAGAGGTTGTTTCATAATGGTAATTGAAGCTTTTATTTCATTGATAAATGATCCTAAAGTTGTTCTTCCAGTTAGAGGCTTTCTCAAAATGAGATGGAGAGTTTTTTGAAAATAGTTTCAGAACAACTTTGTATGAAAGAATTTCAAAACACAAAACTAACATTTTATAGGGTTTCCAAATTGTAAAATGTTCATTATTCTTTAGTAAGGCATGCATATGAAAAAATAAATATGTTTCCATACATTTGAAATTTTTTAATTTATGGAGTTACCTTTTTGTTTTAATGAACTAGTTATGAAATATAGCTTTGCCTAACTGATAAAACCTTAGTTGAAAAAACTGTCAAGGTATAGTTTTTTAATCTTACTTTGATTGAATGTTGAATTTTTATATTAGTAATGAACTGTGATAATTTGTCTGAATCAGTAATCTTGTGAAGATTTTGGAAAATGTTTACTAAATTTTTGTCTATTCTGCATGGAAAGGAATGGAACATTTTGTATTTCATTTATTAAATAGCAATTCTATCAGTTTAAATTTTTTTGTATGGAAACCATTTAACTTCTGTGTTCCAGGTTTTGAAAAGGAAACAGTAGCAAATCTATGTAGAGTATTCAAATAAGTCTTTTGTAAGACGAAGATATCTCCTACTATTCTGACTTTCCAGAATTTGCATATTTTTTACTATTTGACTTTTCATGCAGAAAGGTGCTATTGTTCATTATTTTATGCAAATTATAAAATCATTATTTAGTTACAAAATGTTTGTAGTAGTATAAATTTATTCATCTTAAGTTGCAGAAGTTAATGTACTGTTATTAATTTTCACTAACTCCTTAAAGGAGAATTATTGGTCAGTTGTAAGGTTGTTTTCAGGGAAATTATTTCTTCTAAAATAAAATTTTGTTTCTAAATGTCAGTTATAAGAATGTGTTGAATTAATAAAGTGCATCCAATTGCAAAAATAAACTACCTTATAATGTAATGATACTTTTTCAAAAGAAATGATATAGCAAAGCTTGTGAAGATTGATACTTCTTGAAATGGCAATACAAAATAATTTTATATAATAGCTATGTATTATCTGTGATAACAGTGAAAACATATGTAAAAGGTTTAGTTTTAAGCTGAGCTATTAATTAATATTATATAGTGTACTGCCTGTAAGAAGGCTGGACAGTTAACTAATGAGTTCAATGTATGTCTGTGTTGTTTATAAACATTTAATGTATAATAACTTCATTAAAAAATAATTGCAGAAGCATTGTAAAGATATTAAAATGAATTTTTAAATACCTTGTGTTTCAGGGCAATAGTTAGAATCAAAATATAGATAAGTTGGAATGCAAAGTTATTTATAGTATGGTTTCCATTAAAATTGAACCTTAGATCTGCATTGAATTTAAGTTATGTTCGTCATACCTTTCAAGTGCTATATTATGGAAACTTTTCTTTGTAATATTTTGTGCATGTATATAGGTTTGATTTTTAGCATTAAACCTAGTCAGGTAACTGAACTATGGATTATATTTTAAAGATATAAAGAAAATTTTCATTTTGAAAAACCTGGTATATTTTGTTCATGGCGCTAGGTCAGAATGGTTTGGAAAGATGATTTAATAAAGAATTTCCTTTGTAATATGCTACCGTACAAAATTTAGCAACAGATTCATTTTTAAACATACAACTATGAAATTGTTTAAAAAAAACCTTTTTGCGATCAGTAAAGTGAAAAGCCTTTTCAATAGAAAAGTGATACATATGCAGATATCAGCACCATAATCTCAGAGAATTTGTCAGGGGATACAAAACACAAGGAGTTTGTGCAAGACAGGTTAAAAAAGCAAATAGAAGGTGCATTTCCAGGCATTGTTCTGCAAGTGAAAGTGAGGTTGTACATGCAGGCTACAGGGAAACATCAGGACACCTTTATACATGGTAGAATGATTGGCAAGCTTAATGAGGGGCAAAGTTGGGTGTTTGTTGCCCAAGAGTTTGGAATTGATAAGTGTTGTTTCGCGAACTTGGAAAGCCTTCTGAATGACAGGCTTTAAGAAATGTTGGTGGTGGTGGATCAAAGGAAGCTACGATGACTGATGTATTACCTAGCGGGCAGCAGTGCTCAGCAGTTCGGCATACTAACCAAATGACAGATATTCTAGTTAATTGTGGCCAGACGACTTCATAAGGATGTCCCATTCGCTCACCATCTTGAACATTGCGTACCATTAACAGTGGTGTAGAGAGCACAAAGACAGGAGATCTCATCAATAGAATTGTGTCTCTTTACTATTGAGATTCATATCAACCTGATAAATAATTATTAGTGCCAGTTCATGTGAAGAGGTAAGGACATGCTTTCATCCCGGGAAAAGGGACCGTTGGAGTTGTACTGGTATGCTTGTATGGGGATAAATTATTATGAACGCACAGACAGAGCTCTGCATTTTCAACAGCAGTTCACTTACCAGACATTGTTACTGTGACATAGTTATCCTCCCCCACGTGCATGTTGTCTAGGATGTTATTGGTTCCGACTTTGTTTTATGGATGATAATGCACATCCACACAGGGCTCGTGCTGTTGAGGAGCTTTTGGAAAGTGAGGATCTCCACAAAGTGGATTGACCATCATGCTTCTCTGATTTAAATTCCAAAGAACATGTAGGGGATAGTTTATGGAGACACATGTGGGCGCGATCTTACCTTCCAGAGAAAACTTGATAACTGAAACAGATGCTTCTTGAAGGATGGGAACTGTTTCCACAAGAAAAGTTAAATAATCTGATATTGAGAATCGGCAGATGGGGCAATGAAACCATTGCAATTAGGGGGAGGTCTCATAACTCTTATTAACCCTTTCATCCCCATAGGGATGTATAGATCCCAATGCATATTTTAATCGGGTCCCAAAGGGTTAAGGCTTTTTATTATTATTATTATTATTATTTGTTTGTTTTCTTCTTGGCCAGACAGTTTTTGTACCAAAAATATTCTGTCAATAAAGCCTTTGTATATTCATTCTGTACGGTTATGTGCCCTATTCACTTTGTTGCTACTGTAGTTTCCTCATCTTTTAAGTACTAATTTGTGCCTCTGTAGTACAAATTTCCTGTCTACCACATGAAATTTTTGTGAAATAATGGCCCCTATCAGAAAAGCTTTAACGTTTTTTACATTAATATAGATAGAAACTGTAATTGCAGTGCTTCTTAGCAGCATTATTGTATATTGAATTCTTAAAACTTGGTGTGATATCTCTTTCAGCTCTCATAGTTCATCTGCAGCGCAATCCCGCGTAGTTTTTGCAAATAGTGATTTTCGAATACTTGCTGCTGAGGATGAAGTTTTTGATCCACAGGTAATCTCTCTCTTTTTGTTTTTGTTTTCTTAAATACTTTGGCAGTTGTCTTACTAGTTAACTCAACCCTTTGCGGTGCACTATACGTTAGCGTCGGAATTTCAAAACAACAACAACAAAAAAAAAAAAAAAAAAAATGTATGCAGTCTATTTAGTCCTAAAGGAGTATACATGTAAAATTTTTTTAAAAATTGCACTTACCGTTTTAATTCTGTGGGTGTTTTAAGAGGTGGAACACTGCGCCGCCAGAGCTTTTAAAAGAGCGACTAAGCAAGCATTGCAGTGAAGCACGAGAATGAGTAGAAGCGTTTTTATAAGAATGAAAAAACTCTGTGTTATGGCTGTATACATGGTTTCCTGGATATACACAATATTCTTGAATATATACGGATAAATGAGACAAATATCTATATACACAAGTCCTATATACAAAAATATTTACAAATTTTCCTATTTCTTAGCTTCGTGAAATTGTTCAAAGCAAGTCACATATTTTTGATGGAAGCACAAACCAACTTTTCAGGTTTTGCACATAAAACTTGTTTTGTGTGGCTTCTGCTTCGTGTTACAATGTGCACATCGTCTATGCGTACCCTTCACCGGTATGTGTTCAACACTACTGTAGCGTTTTTCCCCGGAAACCTTTACTTTATGCCTAGGAGTATCTTCAGGTCTTGAAGGAAGTCGCATCTTCAAAGTTATCTTTGACGCTTTCATGGCACAGAGGAAACACAGGAAATTTAAACAGAAATCTTTGGGCTGTAATCCGAGGGTAATTCATGAAACACTTTTATCGCTTCGGAAGAGTTAGACCTCATGCGCCATTTATGGAAAATTAATAATAAAAAACTAACTATGATTAATAATAACAATAAAGAAAAATAAGCCTATAATATATACATACACGAAAAATATCTACACAATTATTGAAAATGAACGGGAATGAGACTAAAAAGCGACAGCAAAAAATTCGCGCATGTCTAGGTAAAGATGAGTCAAGCTACTAATAAAATTCCCGCTTGAAAACTACTCCCGAAAAATTCGAGATGCCAATATTAAGGCTTTCATAACACAAAACACACCTCACCCCTCAATACTGCCTTGTTTGAACTCATCTCCCCAAAAAAAACAACGGAATCAGAAAATGTAAACAACGGATGTTCTCTCCTAAGCACAGATGTTCTGATTTGTAACAGCATGAGATCGCTAAAGGTGCAGTATTCCCGCTAATGGAACACCCAGTTTTATTCAGTGATTCTGTGTATGGTTTTTGTATGAAAGATTAAAAGAAATATAGAACAAATAATTTGGAGTACAACCAGCAAAATTATGCGTATTTTTTCAATTAAAATTTTTTATATCATTAAAAAATTGAGAAAATTACTTAAAAAAAGTGGATTTTAATAACGCATAATAAATGAAACTTCTGTGTCTCCTACTGATATGCTGCTATTTACTGTTTAAAAAGAAAAGTTCAAAGTATATTATAAAGGCGTGTTTATCTATTTATGGTTGAATTTAAAGGTTTCAGAAGCGATTCAATTTAGGTGTTCCATGTAGTGGAAGACTGAGCCACAAAGGGTTAAGGGAAAATTTTAAAGTCTGTGTTAGTGTAATGATTTCACTCCTAAGATTTGGTTATACAATTAATAATAATTTGTTTTTTCCATAACTGTGATTGTATTAACTATCTCAGTCTGTCCTAGCAAAATAAAAATCATTTCATGTATTTTATGGGAAAGCATGTTAAATAAATAGGTGATGAGCCTAATGCTGCAAACATTTGCTTCTTAAAACATTGTCTGTTACCAAAAAAGAATATTTTCAGAACTTTTTCAAAGAAAAAAAAAAATATCGCTAGAAACAAAGGCCATTGAAATGAAAAATATCTTCATAATCGCCTTGTTATTTTACACAAATCCATTACATGACTGTTTTATTTTTCAGTACTGATTGTCTCATTCATTACTAATCGAAACTGTTGCTAGGCTTCTGAAATCATGAAATTTGAGCTTTACTTAGTCAAACCAGTAAATTTCATAAAGGATGTGAACTTCTTTAAAAAGATACTGTGGTTAATTTTTAAGTATGTTGTGGTGAAATTGTATATTTGAAGTTATTTTCTAGTGTTACCTATCTGGCAACTCTCATCTTTGAATTAAGAACCTTGACTAATTGAAAGAAACTCATTGCTTCTGAACACTAGCTACTTTAGTTGTTACACATGCTTTATCAAAAGCATTTTGAAAATTTTCACTTCTTTAACAAAAATTAAATTGAAAATGTAGGAAATTAGATTGTTATAAATTGTGCAGTTTATCGACTAAGAAGTCTATTAATTTGCTTGTTGATTAAAAACCGCATACCAGATTTAGCGGGCCGACCAGTGGCCGAGTGGTAAAGTCGCTGAACACTGGTAGTTCGGTCCGAGGTTCGACTCCCGCAAGCGGGCTGGCTGCATGGGTGTTTTCGTGGTTTTCCCCATGTGTAGCATTTCAGTATCTGTATCATCTGAAAAATTCCTTTCTCTCCAAGAGGAACTTTGAGTAAACCAAGTAAGTGCACACGATTTTGGAGTGCATGTATGTTGAAGGAGCTTTTGGCTAAATATTGCTAAACAGTCTTAGGTTGATTGTGCTTCATAAGCGACATTATACCTCAATGAGCTTGAATTCTATGTAACCCTGGAGTTTTGCCCAAAGCTGCAACGTTGTCATAATATGATGTGTTGGTACATTGATAAGCAAGGCTGTCCAGCTTTCTTACGAGTCACCATGAGGAGTGCGAATAAACCGCTCTCCTCCATTTGAAGTGAATGAACCCACAATGAACTTATTTATCAGTAGAAGCTAATTTCATGTTATTCTGATGTAAATTAAATAGGATAGTTTTAAATGAACGAAATCTTAATATTTATTATGTATTAAGACCTTCAAATGTCTGAGCTTATGCTTCATAAAAATTTTCACCTGAGTGATCAATAACTATTTATTTTTGTATCATTTTATTTTCCATGGTTTTGATAAACTTTCTAACACACTTAAAACACTTTCCAAAACTTTCCCACACTTCCAACAGACAAACTTTCCAATACAGACACACAACACAAAAATGTTAAACTTTTGAACTGCAAACAGAACATTGCACATTAGTTTTCATTTATGTAAACATGAAAACTACGAATAAAAAGTGCATTTTACAACAACCAACTTTTTCATAGACTTTTTTAGATAGTACATAATTTTCTTCAGTATGAGGATAAAATAAAAAAGCGAGCATTTTCAGTTATAACATTTATTTAACAACAACAGTTTAACAAAATTTAGTGTAAAATTCATTTATTAAACTAAATATTAAAAAGACATATTTCATAATTTATTTATCATTATAAACACATTAAAACTTCAGTTTTAGTGATAATTTTTAATGTCAGTATTTTTTTAAAGTCGAATGATATTATGTAAATACCTCTGTTATGATTAATATAATTATTAAACTTGTAGTGATCCATGATCTTATAGAATAAAAATCAAAAGTCTATTTTTAAACTTCTGCAGAAAAACATTTTGTTTAGTTTTGACGACTGTCTTTATTAAATATTTTTTTTAAATTAAGATATGCATTCTTACTATTCTATATTAATCTTTAGCAAAATCTTGATATATCTATATTAGAAGTTATGAACATAGTAATTATTTTCCAAGCTGTCTATATCAAAAGTTGCGCCTATAACTATGTGTAAGTTAGAACTCATTGCATAATTATGCTTTAAAATTTAAATTCGCAAGGTAGTTAGCCAAGGTTCCCACATTTCATTAACGAAGTGCACGTGGTAGAACCTATATCAAATCAGGGAAGTGCAATGACGGTATAGGATACTGGACGTCCCTTGTAGAAGCACTTCATCTCGGCAGTATATTTTATCATTTTTAATTGTTCTTCTACTGCATCCATTTGAAACACCATATACTGTATAGCTCTTCTAATATAATGCAATAGCAAATTCTTTAAAATGAATTATTTAAAAAAATAATTCTAATTTTTATAAGTAATTGGTGTAACTATTTGTTTTTCAAGTTTTGTTTATATATTTTTTAAAATATGATATTAATTATAATTTTCACAATAAATTTGAAAATGTGACAAAAAACGTTAAAAGGGTAATGTGTCCCTTTAAAATATTATAAACACCCAAATTTGAGTTTTTAAATGAGAAACATTATTACTTCTAAATTTTTAAAACTGTAATGACAAGTGCATTAAAAATAAAACTGAAATAGATTAGATATTACAAATGCTATTCTGATTTGTACTTTATAGTTGAGCCCTCAATTTTCTACTGAACATTTAATACTAAGCGATTAACATATAATCATAATGCACAAGCATTTTTGCAATGTATGAATCAAAATTTACTATACATTAAATAATCCTGTAGTATTATGCACTTAATAAACCATCAGAATATTCACATGTAGTTTATGAAGCAACATCCATATATTAACAAGATTATATCATTCACCTTAAGACAAATTACAGGGGGAAGACTTATTGTACTGTATTTACATTAGCAATGATTTAATATTTCCTTTTACATTTTACACTAGTTCGTGTTTACTCTTATATTTTATACTAGTTTCTCAATGGAAATCATTTTGTCTTTAAAAACAGACCTATTAGATATATCTAATATTTAATCTATTTTATTTTTCTTTAAGTAACAATGAAATCATAGTAATGAAAGTTCACCTAGCTGTTTTTAATCGGAATGAAGTCCTTTCATTTTATTGCACGTATCCACTTTTCTTTCAGATCTGCATTTGAAAATATGTACTTTAGGTCCAGGTAATTTCCATCACGTCGTGGCACTGAATAGATGTAAGACAAATTATTTCTGGAACAACCTACAAATTGCCAAAAAACTCAAATTTAATACATCCAACTGCAAAAAAAAAATCACTGTACATACCAATATTATAGGTCAATAATTGCTGTTAAACCCCTTCTCTCGCAGCACTGGTGACTAACAATAACCTTTGACCCAGCGCTGCACTCACCCCCAAGGAAGGGGTGCATTCCTTGTGCTTACGTCACTAAGCTGTAAGGCCTTGTTTTCAAAGGCCACGTTTAGTAAAATTCTCTTTTCAGTTCTGGAAATTCACTAGCAGTGCAAAACACATAACACTCAGCTTCTCCTTTAGTGTCTATTACTCCAGCATAGTGGTAATTTTCTTAATGCTTTAGCCCATCCTTAAGGATTGATAAATAACTCGTTTAGTTTATTAGTATATTGTTGTTACTTTATGGTGTATTTAGAATTACTAAAAGCTGTTGTATACTTTAATGTTGTTTTACTTATTTCTGATATATTTATTAGGACCATGAGAGGGTACCTGGAGAGAATACTGGAATTTTCGCAGGCATTCCTGCTACTCTTAATAGATGGTCTGAAGAATCAAGAGTTCTTGATGCAGAAAGCATTCATGATTGCTTATTAGGTATATTTTATATCATCATTGAATTTAAGCACACTTTGTAAACATAATTCATGAGATTCACACACAAATTGGACTGTATCATCATTAATGTTATTTCTGTTAACAGAAATTACACTCACAAATGATAACCTATATATATTTTACGTGGATGGACACCTTATCTACACCTTAAATTATGTATTGCATGATCACATTAGAATAACAGAACCAGAATGTGCAAAATAATGGCAGCCAGAATACTATTTTTTCTTTCATACTCGAGGTTGCTAGATTCCTGAACTTAAAAAATACTAAAACAGGATTAAGGATTTGTTCTACATAAATGAAATTTGGGAGGCATGTTTGCTCACATGAAAGATAACGTCTATTCAGATATCATACTAGATAAATGTGATGCTAAAAGTACCATTATGAATGTGCAAATCACATTAGCTTTTAATACTTGACGTAAACTTCCTGTACTTTATTTATCTTCCAAATTGGGTGTTAGTGAGATATGAGTCAACAATGAATGCCTTTAAGGAGACAAAAAATGCACCGCCATTATCTTACTGAGTTGGAATAGTGCTCTGTAATGGGGCCATGATAAGGTGGATTTTCATTTTAAAATACTGTAGAAAGATTTGGCATAACTCAAAAACAAGTCACTTCAGAACATTGAAATTTTGTATATAGAACTGCTATAATATGTAGCTGGGCGCCTTCCTCTTTAGTTATGAGCCACACCAAAAGTACATAAATATATATGTAAGATATAACAAAGAATGATAACTGCTTTAAAAATAATAGGCGACCTCAAAATTAAAGATTCTAGATTTGATGCTCTTGGCCTAAATTCAGCTATTCTTTCATGTTATTACCTGAAACACCTGAAATTACATCCAACCTGAAATTAAACAATCATAGCTTATCTCTACAATTGCATCTACTTCAGTATAAATACTACTGGCGAATTAATTACATCATTCTTCCCTTCCCTAGCTGCTGCTCTGCCAACAAGGTGCTGCTTTGTTTCACAAATGCTTACGCCATTTCTTTAAGAAATCAATGTACATAGAAATTTATCATATTTAATTATGATTGAAGACGTGTCTACAAGCTAATTAGATATGTGCAAAAATGAAGATTGGGGATTTATAAAAATCCTTTTTTGTTATCTTCATCAGTATGTCTTAACCATCAGCCATGATGGATATTGGTAACTGTTATGAGTTCCAATGTTTTCTTCTATGCATTAAATTATGACAACATAAAGGCGACAGGATTCGAACCTGTGTGGAGAAACCCCCAATGGATTTTGAATTTTTCTAAATCACTAATCTTTATTTTCACTCATATCCAATTACTTTCGCAGATACTTATTCAGTCATACTTAAATATGATAAACATTTATCTATATTGGTTTTTTTAAAGAAATGATGTAAGCATTCGAGAAGCCGAAGCAGCACGGTGTTGGGAGAGCAGCAGTTAGGGAAGGGAAAAATGACATAATTAATACACCAGTGGTTTTTATACCGAAGATGGAAATAAACTATGATATACAACATGAAAGAATCTCGAATTTTGGAGAGCAGATGAATTTAGTGGCATAGAATGAAATCTAGAATCGTTAATTTTCAAGTCACCAATTATTTTTAAAGCAGTTATCATTTTTTGTTTACCACACCCACTCTGTTACTCAGCTGAGTGAGCTTATGTTAATTCTTGTATGTTGGTAAATTGCACATTTTTTGCTTTAAAAATTGTTGAAATATGTAGTTCATATCTTCCGGTTAATGTTTTTATGCCTTTAGTTAATCTTCATGCAGTAGTTGTAGAACTATCAACAATTTAAAAGTTGTTTAAGTGTCTCTAATCCCATATTTTATTTACCATAGCAGCCATACTTGTTTACATTTGAAACATAGCAGACTAGTGAATTCAGTTTCTGCACCCTCAGTGTCTTTTTGCCGAGTGTAAGCGAAACTAAACTTTCATTTTTGCACACCGAAAAATATGCCTACTTGACTGCTGCTGAATTGCTTTTTTTTGTGCAGAACTCAAATTTTAATTGTAAAAATTGCTTTTTTGGGTTGTTTTAACTGTATTTAGTATTTTATTTTTTCCTACATCTTTTAATTTTTAATGAAGGTAGTTTGAGTTTTTGTGTATTTTCCCTTGCCGCGAACTGAGAATTGAATGAATTGAATGAGAAATACACTTATTTGCAAGAAACGTCGAAGCACCAAGAAGGACTTTTGCAATCATGACGAAATTTGGTAATGCAGAAACATCGTGACCGGAAAGCAAATGATCAAATTTCAAAGCAAATGAACAGGAATTGCGATCATAGCGCACAATTCGCAAATTATAAAACCAATAATAGAGGCAGAAAATTTATCTTTTTTTTTATGCTGCCATTGTAGTTCCATAAAGAAGCAACTAAAGATGCCATTACAATGATATCGAAGACCTTACTGAGAGCTAAACGAGTTCAAACGTGGTCACGTGGTAGGGTTGCGTGAAGCTGGGTGATCATGCCGAGCAACAGGCCTTCACCTGCAGCGTGCAGACACTGCTGTACAAAGCTGTTGGCAGCAATGGTTTCTACAAGAAAATTGCCTATGAAATGAAGGCTCTGAAAGGCCGAGGATCACAAATGCAAGGCAAGATAGGATGATTGTTTGCCAGGCCCGAACCTCAACAACGGTATCATTGTCGACTATTCAACGCACTACAGCCACGTCTATACCACCCGCAGTACCGTCTACTATCTCGCAGCACATGTCTGAGGCCCTTAAGATGTTTGCCTTTGACCCCATAGCATTGGTGGAGTCGACTGGAGTGGTGTCGCAGCCGATCGTCATAGCTGTTATGTAACTGCCATTGTAGAGTGCTTAGTGATGAATCCCGCTTCCCTCTTGAAGCAAATGACCACCATGTTCGTGTCTGGAGAGGATGGGGCCAGCCAAACCCCTTGGTATGATGGTGTAGGCCGCTATTTCTTATGACAGCAGGTTGTCTTTATACATCTCTATACATCTTTAACGTTTCAATGATATGTAACCATCCTGCGGCCACTTGCATTACCGTTCATGGCACATGATCCTGGGGGCATTTTCCAACAAGATAATGCCAGGCCACATACCAATCGTATATCTCTGAACTGTCTCCGTACGGTTGATTCTCTTCCTTGGCCAGAAAGGTCGCAATCGAGCATGTCTGGGGCATGGTAGCCTGCCAGATTCAGGCACGTCAAAATATCATAGATCTTGAGCAACAACTCGTGAATGCCTGGCAGAATGTGTCACAGGATGACATTAGTAACCTCTACCACTTGTTACCTCGACGAATTTATGCATGCGTTGCCGCCAGGGGCTATTTGACCAGATACTAATTTGAATACTCAATGGGTGATTGTGATCCATTAACAAGTGTTATGACCTTGATTTTATAATAATTTTATTATCTGTGTATGAGCTGTACACATACTGAATTTCATCAAAAACAACAACTTCCTTCATGATGTTTCGATTTTTTCACAAAAGGCTGCATTTATACACATAAAGGAAGTTCCTTAAGAGAAAGTTAATAAGAGACAAAAATAAAAAGCACATTTTTTTAAACCCATCCTGTGCCATAGCTGTGGGATGGAAGTAAAAAGTGTTTAACCTCTTTACAAGGATGCAATTATTAATATTTTTGTAGAATCGCCAATTTACTTTTAACTTTAGATGCTTTAAATTTATATGTATATGACCCCAAAAGCATTACTATTATGTTTCTTCACTGACGATTGAGATTAGAATCTGCTCAATCTGGATTAAAAAATGTCTTTTTTTTTGCAGACATTTTGCAGCTAAACGAAAGAAACAAATCTATTTAATGATACTTTTTAATAAACTCAATTATTTTCTATTTATTTAGCACCATACATAAGTAAAAAATATTGCATTAAATTTCGTGATAATATGTCATAATACTGCTTGAATAAGTTTCAGAACTATGCCAGAGAAAATTAACTGAAATTTGAAAGTATTTTTAATTAATAATAAATAAATTTAGAGAAAATAAACAACATTAAATGATATGAATAACATTAAAATATAGTTACTTGCTTAAAAATTGAATTACGATAATCAACAATATTTTGACGAATATAGTTATATTAAATAGTTAGCCTAAATGATGGATTACTATTCTTGATTTTAGTGCAAAGTGAAAAATAAGGTATTTATTAAAAAGAAAAAAAAAAAGGTTTTAACAGATTTTGCAGTAAAAGATTTTGGAAAGTGTCGCCAACACCAAAATGACCCATTTACTGCTTATCATATCACCAAATCAGTCACCAAATCCCGTGTGTACACTGAGGCTATTCTAACCTCCATGGTACCGTAATCCTACCAATCGGAAATTGTTGATTGGTTCATGAGGCATCAACTGCTGGAAGTTTTAACATCTATTTGATGCACAGCACTCACGCCTATGGCTTGAAATAGAAAAATAAGTGCTTCTGTATAACTTAGATTAGCATCTAAGTTAAACAAATGTGAAGAGATAATCTTTGAAATGGAAATAAGTGCAAAATTGAGAAAAGGAAAAGAAAGTTTGAGCTGGTGAGAATTTCGTTCGCAAACGGGAGAATTGGGTGATCAACTACCATTCAGCTAATTTGTTTCATACGAATATTGGAAGAATATTTTTTTCAGTTCAGCATGCATTGCACATGCAAGTTTCTCGATTCTCGAGGTTACTGGGCACCAAAGTTGTGGATATTTGTTTTGCATATCTAAAAGACAAGCTGATTGGACCTGCAAAAATTGACTCCATGACAGATGCCGGAATGGCACTCGCAGGATACATAATTCACCAACAAAGTGATTACTTCCAACATTGGCACAAAAATCGTTTTTGCTATCGCTGGATGAAATTGTTTTGTTTCCAAAAGAGCGTATATCTCTAATGAAATTCAAGGAAATTAGTATTTTGCATTAATAGCAAATATTGTCACCATTCTGTCTCGGGCAGAGGAGAATGTTTAAGAGTAGCGCATGTGCATTTGATAGGTGGTGCCGAATCGTCTGTGAAAAACCTGTTTCTTTTTTGTTTAATTTCTTTTGCACATTGTTTTACATTTGTATTTGCAGAGAACATGTGGAAATGATTAGGTAATTCTTGAGGTGATTTAATTTTTGTGCGTTCTGAGTTATGAAATGAATGAGAAGTAACACTGTTATGTAAACCTTTTGCTATGGAAAATAAGTACAGTAAAGTCCGTAATCCGGACGTCCGTTATTTGGAATGATCTATAATCCGGACTTCAAAGTCACAAAATTTTTTACTATGCTTTATGCACACGCGTAATGTGCTTGAAATATAACGGACGGTATAAGCTAGGCTAAAATTATCTTTACTGATTCTATGGCATTTCAGTTGATGTTGCAGATTGCGCTGTTCCTTAATCTTCTAATTGGATTCAGCTTATTATTTTTTTGCAGACTGTTAGAGCAATTTTATCAAAATTAAGCTTGAACTTTCGATTATGTCAAAAAGAGTTTCCAATTCTGGAGCTGCCAAAGGATCTAGAAAGCGAAAGCATGTTTCGATGTCCAGCAAACAAAAAGTGGATAACGGCATATCCATCTCAAAATTATGCAAGGAGTCTGACACTGGAAAGTCAACTGTATATGACTGTATATAAAGAGAAAAAGGAACTTTTTTGAATTCTTTTGTGGATTCCGACACCCCCACTTGCAATGAATAACAGAAAAGGGTTCGTTATGCTAAAAGTGACCATCATGACAAAGTGATGATTGAATGGGTCAGACAGCGTCGCAATAAGGGCTTGCTATTGACGGGTCCAATGCTAATGGCTCAAGCCAAAATATTTCATGAAGAAATGAACTTAAACACTGGGTGCACATATTCGATAGGTTGGTTAACCCAATTTAAAAATCGCCATGGTATAAGACAATTAAAAATTTCAGGTGAAAAATCTTTAGCTGATACTGAAGCTGCTGAACAATTTGCAGTTGAATTCATTGAACTCATTACTAGTGAACAATTATGTCCACAACAAATTTACATTGCTGATGAAACTGGTCTTTTCTGGAAATATGTACTGCAAAATAGCTTTGCAACCTCCAAAGAAAAGTCTCCAACTGGTATCAAAGATCTTGTGGAGAACTCTTTATTTATTATTATTATTTGTCTACTGGCCCAAGAGAGGGCACTACCAGCTATCTCCCTCTTCTCCACTGGGCGAGACTTCGGACTCGTCACTCTGTTCCTGGCTGCCGTCGATGAAGCACGCGCTCACCTCTCTTCAGCTTCACTTTCATGTTTTTTTAATAATGTGGACTTGCTAACTATAAAAATGGTTATCGTACGAACTGTAATCAATGTGACTGTGTATAGGTGAACGTATGTTAAAATATATACCTTTTTCTAGTATTAAATAAAAATGTTAATATTGCCAAGCCAAGCTAAGCTACCATCATTATATCCACAGCAACAACACACGCCACAAAAAATGGCTTCCATAAACGAAGCCATAAATGATGACCCGTTTAGTTAATGAACACATGCCTCCTGGAACCTGCTTGCATCATCAATTTCTGTGCTCATAAAGTGCTGTGAAGCGAAAATATCGTCTGTTAACGCTAGCGAATATCGTAATCCATCATTATTTTTGTGTTATCGTCGAAATAGTGTGAAAAACAGTTGTGTCTCCTTAGTAACGTGCTTGGGAATGTGCCTCATGCAGAATGTCAAAGTGCTTAGAAGTGATTTACATATATATCCTACAATGTTGTTACATATCGCAAAATAAGTTTTTTGGAATATTTTTGTATAAGTGAATTGTGTTATGCTGAATCTGCCGCTGATTGAGCAAATATTTCTCCTACAATACAGAGATAAGCCACGCAAATTCTCAGTTAGTAGTACTTTAAAACTTGTGCTTATATTCGGATAGCACACCTACAAAAAGTGTTTTTCTCACTTTAATGCTTGCATTAGCTTTATTTATTTTGCACTAGTATCGTATGTGAACTTATTAGTGACAGATTTTTGTGTATTTATTTATCTCACATTTGCCAATATACATATATCTATATATATTTTGTGAATCATGGCTCCACCACAAACCGTGGCAGACAATCTTAATATCTCACATGTTTCTGTCAAGCCTCCCTCATTTTGGAAGGTCAATCCCACTTTATGGTTTGCACAACTGGAGGCCCAGCTTGATATCGCTGGAGTCACTGTTGACTTCACAAAATTCAATCATGTGATATCTGCAATCGAATCCGATATTCTCAATAGCGTTTGTGATATCGTTTTGCACCCACTGGTGACTGGCAAATACGATCCACTAAAAACATGCTTAATTGAATTGCATTCTGAAAGTGAGGAGTTAAAGATCCGTACACTTCTTCAGGGGCTAGAACTTGGCAATGAACAGCCTTCCCAATTACTTTGCCGTATACAAAACCTTGCTGGAGAGACCATTGGAGAACCCTTGATGAAATCACTATAGATATCCCGTCTCCCGCAAAATATACAGATTATTCTTGCTGCCTTAAGTTTTGAGCTCCCAAAACTCGCAGTTGTAGCTGATGAAATTACAGACCTCACAACTCTCCCTAACATAAATAGTGCTGCTACGGCATCTACTTCTCCCATTGAACAGCAATTTGCAGAGCTGACGAAGCAAGTAAAAGAACTTTTGCTAGCCATCAAAAACAGCCGTCAGCATTCCTGTGAACGAAGAGACAATTATTCCCAACGCAACAGAAGGCATAATAGATCCAATGGATGCTATCACTAGTATAAAGAACCATGTAACAACATTTGTTTGTACTATACTAATTTCGGTTCCAGTGCACGGAAGTGTGTTTCTCCATGCAGTTTCCGGCAGTCGGGAAAACTAGATCAGCGATCGCTTGTCGGCCAATGTTGTGACCGCCACATTAATCGATTTTTTTTTGCCGATCCATCGTCAAAACTCACCTTTTTCATTGACACAGGAGCCAATTTATCTGTCATTCCCAAGAGTTACAGTCAGCATGCCAAAAACCCAGCTGACTTAGTACTCTTTGCTACTAACGGCACCAAAATAGCAACGTATGGCACCAAACTCCTGACCATCAATTTAAACATATGTCGCTCATTTACTTGGCCTTTTATCCTGCAGAAGTCAATCAACCCATCATAGGTGTTGACTTTCTCTCGAAGTTCAACTTACCTATAGATGTTAAAAACAACCGTTTAATTGATGGACAAACAAAACTATATTCTTGTGGTAGACTTCTCAGTGTGAACCCGCTCGGTACTAGCATTCATATTTTAATGGGTAACTGAAAATTTGACAAAATTCTTACCGATTCCCCCACCTTGACAAATCCTTCACAAACTTTTGAGAGGGCACCAATGTCAACAATTTTCCATCACATTGAAACAAAAGGACCCCCTATTTTCTGAAAACCTAGATTATCTCCAGAATTACTTCAAAGCTGCATGCTAAGAGTTTGACTTTCTCATATCAAAAGGCATCATTCAGCCTTCGAAAAGTCCTTGGGCAAGCCCTGTGCATATGGCTCATAAGGCAACTGGCGACCATGCGGGGATTATCGTCGCTTAAACAAGGTTACCATCTCGGATCATTATCCCGTACCCCATATTCAGGATTGCACTCAAATGTTATGTATGTAATGAATTTCAAATATATGTAATGAATTTTAAAAATAAACGAGTTGATGTTTAATTCATTCTAGGTTGTAAACCAGCTATATTGAAATGTTTAGAAGCATATAGAGATGATGAACTGTCTGAAAGGAAAGAAAAAAGAAGAAAGCTTCAGGATAAAGGTGGAGACAAAAGTAGTGATACAATAACCATAAGTGATACTGAGACCTTAGATGGCATGAATAGCAGTAATTCAGAGCCACATGTTGAAAGTCGAGCATCAGCGATGGAAGTATGTTCATACTGTTATTCCACTTTTATGGTGTTCATTATTGAACATTTTGTGTGTATACTGTGAGTGAATTTTAAATGTATTACACCATGCATGCAGGAATCATTATATCATCCACAATTTTTTATTTTCTTATTATTTATATGTCTATCTTTTTTTAGCCCAAAGTGGCAGTTTGCCCAGAAGGGCTATTAATTTCGTTTTGGTATTTTGCATTGAGTCGTAAACAGCAAATCATTTTTTAAATTGTTGCCCCCAAACATTAGAGCCCTGTTATATTTAAAGAAATTAAATAATGAAGAATCTGCATAAATATGTGTATGTTTCTCGTGTTGTGATAAAACAAAGATACCTATAGTCATCAGATTTTGAATAACATATGTCTCCACCCGAATACGGGCATCTGGAAGTCCAAAGTTGAAACTTTTTATCTATTTCATATTTTGTAAAGCATTTATGAGTTTTGATTTTGAACCTCGATGATTTCAAAGTGAGCAATGGCAACACTGTACGAGGGGGGGGGAATTTTTTAAATGCTCTTCTAAATATTTTTAGTCTTCAGTTTTTCGAGAAGGCCTATTAACTTCATTTTGCCATTTTCTGTTAACTTCTTTTGAATATAATTTTATGGTTTAAGTGTCAAGATCATGATATTTAATAAATAAAAGTAGCACGTAAAGTGTTAGAAAAAAGCTCCTTTGGTTGTAATATGATATCTGAACCCTTTCAGGTTTTTTTTTTATATTTATTTATTATTTTTTTAATTAGCTTAAGTTTAAATGAGTATTGTCTTTTTAACATATGTGATCTTAATGCAACTTTTTCTTAATCCAAATCTGGCTCTATTCCAAATGCTGTTGTAATATATTAATATCAGATTGTACTTCAGAAGAAGAGCAATGCCTTTGATCATATGAGAGTTATTTTCTTTCTCCTTACCCTGATTATATTGAATATAACATTGCAGTAAATATATCAACTTTTTTATATACTTTTTTTCACTGTCAAGCATGAAACCCTAATAATACAATATATGTTGCCTGACTGACAAATTGTCACACCATGATTAAGCCTTTCTGATTCAAAGTGGCATATAAGTAAGTTCAGAAGAACTGATTTAATAAGGATTGATTTCAGATAATGATTTTAAACTTTCTGTATTGTAAAGCATGCTGAATGTAGCCGACAGTTTAATATGAGGTGGTTACTGCATAATGTCAAATATATTGATGTGTTAGTGTTTTATCTGTAATAATTTACAGACCTGGTTTTATAAAACTATCTCTAAATTAGCCCCATGGTTGTTGCATTACTGAGGTTTTGCCAATGCAAGGGATTGATGTGTGTTTATAGACCTTTACGTAAACACATCATATTGAAAATTTTCTTTCAGTGACTTTTGTAATGCATTTTCGTTCCTTAATCCTGATGAAAGTTTTCATTTGCTTTAATATAAGCCTGTACTTTAAGCGTAACATTCTTCTCTTTTACATTTGGTCTAAGGCTTTATTAGTATCCACAAAGTGGCTTAATATAGTGAAACAAGAGTTAACATCTGCAGAATATCTGTCTGCATCATCATCAGGATCAGGATAATTTAGAGGTAATCACTGATCATATCAGCCATGCCATCAAACTTCCATATTTGTGGGTTTATCAAAATATACAAGGGACATATTTTTTCAAATAGTCATGGCCAGTTCTGTGAAAGTTTGCTTCACACACAGTAATAGGGAGCTTGTTCCTGAGCGGTAATATCATTAAACAGCCTTTTGATCTGGGTTCAAGTCATGGGAATGGACCGGCTGCATGTTTGGTTCATGTCATGTTAATCCAAGACAAATGCCTTTAAAAAGTCCTCCATGAAGACATCCATAGGCAGGTGGCCATCTTTTTGATTTCCCTTAATAAATTTACCTAACTGAGGATGGTTATTCTTTTTATTATTCTTCCAGATCATACAATTGATTGAAAAGAGTAAAAGTTTGCCTAATGCATCTCAGTACAAACCCATATTTAAATAATGTCCATGTGAAATTTCAATTTTACATTTCGTTACCCACATTTTTATTTTGTTGCAATTTTTACTCTGAAATCGTAATTTATATTTGTGAGTGGATTTGTTCTTTATCTAGTCTGTTTTTATCTAATCTTTTTTGTGTATGATTTAATAAAATTAATTTATTGGAGTGGTATTTTAGTTATATGCTGTTATATTTAATGTGAAATGAAATATGAACTCAGAGTTCAGCTTCAACATAGTTTACGCAGCCTACCAAAATTTAAGGATAATCTGAAAAAGTATCCTCATTGATTAAAGTTTTCATCAGCCCACCAACAGCTGAATGATAAAGTCACTGAACACTAGTAGTTTAATCCTCTGTTTGTATCCTGGCAAACAGGCTGCTTGCATGGGGATTTCATGGTTTTCTGCATGTGTTATATGCCAGTTTGCCTCAAACAATCCCCCACAGAGGCATCCCTCCACTTGCATAGGTAGCTCGAGTGCTTCGCCATAATCAAATAAACCAAACGAAAGATTTTGTCAAATGCCTAATAATTTAATTATGTTAATTATCTGTAAATGAATGCAAAATCACACTTATGCAGACAATCTGGTGAATGAAATGTTAGGCAGTTGACAAGTTGCATAATGGGCATGTGTTGGAGTCGGGATATATTGTGAAGCTAATATGATTTCTGAGAGTAATCAAAAGTCATTAATTGCAACTTGAAACCATGATTTAAAGGAAAGGCAGAAGCTGCAGTTGATTGATAGACTATGAGGGCACAAGTATACATGGAAGTCATCAAAGATCTGAATATTCCTTCGATATCACCATATCAATAGACTGGAAATGTTTTTATGCTAATGAATAAGGTGGTAAACAGCCTTGGAGAAGCATCTACTGTATCTGAAAGCTCTTTTCTGTCATTATTAGCTAAAAAAAAAACTGAAGTGACTGCGGGAAAGTGGGTTTTAGCACTTCATTCTGCCACAGGACCTGGAATCAGCTGTTATATTGCTGCATGAAGTCTTCACAGACATAAACTTTTCCCCAAAACCATTTAGTGTCTCACTCATTTTATCATTTGAAGAAGCATTTAAGATGATGTCATTTAATAGCTTCCTGAAGAATAGGGCCACAAAATGCACTTGTATTTGGTTTTTATAATTTTTTTGTTTATATCACTTTTTTTCTTATCAGTGCCAAAACTAAATAAATAACTTTTTCTTCCTTATCTGGAGCATCAGATGGTTCTACACACCTTGTTATTTGACAAGACTTTACATAAAATAAATTTAAGAAAAGCAAGCTTTGCATATCAGATATTGGTAGTCTCATCAAAATAAAATTGTAAATCGATTTTTGACATCTGTTTTCATGGGATATGCAACAGTAGCTAATATTTTTGAAAGTTTTCAAATGGCAGTTAAAAAACTAGATGTAAAAAAGCTGCTACATTGGGTATGAATGCGCCAGCTGTAAGTTGGAAGCTTTATGAAACCCTCCAAGATGAATTGTAAAAGGCAATATGCCATTAAATCTAAATCTCTTAGTATTTGCGGCTTGCATATTTTTAACAACACTTTCTGTAAAGGAGCATCCACTACAACCTGGGATGTATCTTCTATCTATTCAAATATTCTTTACAACATCAAGATTTTTTAACAACGAGTAGGGATAAGACTTTGCCCTAGAAATTTTGTAACCATTGGAGTCTACAGAATGTACCAGCATGTTTGCATGGTTTCGAAATTTGGGAAGGTATAAAAGGTTATGTAAATCTAATTGAGAATGGAAAATGTGCAAAAATAACTGATGATATGAAATGATTTTTTTATTATTACCAATGACAAGTACACAAGACAGCAGATATCTGAAAAGCTGCATTATGCACCACCACACTGGTCCTGCACTGGGTATTGTGGTATGGGGCGGTATTGGATATCACTTTTGCACTCCTGTAGTATGCATTGCCGGTACTTTAAACAGCCAGCACTACATCTCCGAGGTGTTGGAGCCAGTTGTCCTCCCTTACCTTCAGGGCTTGCCCACAGCCATATTTCAACAGGATAATACACAACCACACGTGGCACACATTGTCCAAGGGTTCTTCGTCAATCACCTTTTTTTCTTAAAATGTGCTTGAAAAGCTCTTTTAGGTGCTTATTTACTAAAATGTGACTGCTAAGCCTAATAAATGATCCCATTTCATTGGAAGTGGATAACAAGAAGCATACATAATTTCAGTATTAAAGGTGATGAGCAGTTTATATTTCAGTGTCTGAGTAAGGAAGTTAGCAAAATGTCAAAGTTATAATTTTTTGGTATGGCAGAAGTATGATCGCCCATGCATGGTTGATTTTTGTCAGTAAAAAATGTATTTACTAGTTAAATAATATTATACTGAAATGTTAAAAAACACTGTGTCATTTACAATAATATCACATTACTATATTAAAAGGTTTTTTTTTAATGCATTAGGTTGCTGAACCAGCTAATCAGTTTGAAAGCAATATATCTGCAGCTCGAAATATGCCAGCAATAAGTTTAGCTGAAGCTTTACCTGCTCAAGGTGAGGATAAAATTAGTTTCTGTATTTTTCACTAATGTTCCTAAATTTTATACTAATTAATTTTAACCTCAATTTTAACAATACTTGAAGTATTATCAAGAAACTACTGTTGAAAATGTGTTGTTGTTAGTATTTCTTCTTGTAAGTTGATCTTTTATTAATTGCTTGTGTTATTTTAGCATGTTTTAACATCTTAAGTAATCTAAATTTTCAAGTTGTGACCTAGTCTCAAATTATGATGTTTGCTGTAAATATCAGAATTCTGCAAATTATATTTTCTTCTCAATGTATACAGAAAAACATTGCTTAACAGCAAGGTCTGTAGGAGAGAGCTGATGAAAGATTAGCTTTACTTGAGGTAAAGAAAAGAAAAATTCATTTTTGCACTCTGTTTGGCTTTGATGGCACTGCAGTTGTTTTCCTCAGAATAGTATAGATTTTCCCATTGACTTAACCCTCTGAGCAGAATGACCAGGTTTAGGCAGCCAAGAAGATCTACGTTAAAAGCAGTACAGATATTTCTAGGCAGTCAAGGGAAACATGTTCCAGAGTGTTATTGACGCTTTGGTGGTCAGTGGTGATGACTACCTTAAAATGGGTGTGCGAATGTCTCAGTGCATAGTTACATGTAAACATCAAACATGTGAACATTTTTTGTTAAATAAGTAACTAGTAAAATGTTTAATACTATTTTTAAATTAGTACTTTTTGTGTTTTTTAACTAAATGTTTGGAAATATTCAATATTTTCATTATTTCAATTAAAAAATAACATATAAAACTATTTAAATAAATTTACTTCTTTTTATATAGATGTGTTATTGGTTATTCGTTTAAAACAAACAGTACTGCAGTCGACTAACCTGAATTACATGTAGCATATAAAGCGATTTATGCATAAGTCATATAAAAGTTAGCCTACAATAGTCTATTTTAATAAGTTATATTAAGCATATTCTTATTATAGGCAACCACAAATTAATTTGACTGTAGATTTATAATAATGGTGAACTGTTCCTTTTAGAACAATACTCATTTCTTACATTGGTTTGCTGCAGTTTTGTTCTAATGCATTTAAAATATCCCAAAAATTTTAATGTACATTGAATGGAACGGGATTTTCATTCCAAAAAATGTTTAATGACATTTTATTTGCATACTTTTGTTTTGCATAATATATATTACTTTGTTCAACACAATGAACTGCAAGCAGGAGGGGAAAGTTCAGTTAAAGTTACTGTATTTCGTTTAAAATTAATTACTAAAATAACCTTGAGAATAGCATCTGAGTTTCTGAAATATAACCCACAACTTTTCTTAGGGGTACTAATTTCATTTTTAAAAAAATAACAGAAGAGAAGAATCATGACCTTTTTTTATTTTATTGTTTTTAAATATATTTTGGCGAATGATGCAGTTGTTGCCAAATGACACATAATAAAGAAGAATGATCTGTGGTGTCTCATTTGAAGTGCATAAAATTTTTCTTTTAAGTCTTTGACTGAATTTTTTGAGTTTCATTTCTTATCAGAAATTGCAACAAACAAAATTTGCAAATTGCACAACTCGCTTGATTGGAAACTGGCTCAAGTACAGTTTGTTTTAATTTCAGGTTTTGGAAAAGCTAAAAGTTATTCTTTGTAGTCCTGAAGGTTGCCATTTATTTGAATAAGTAGTATGAAAAAAGAATTTTACCATGTATTGAAGTGTCAAATAATGTTTAACATTTCCTCATAATAAAATGCAATAATCTGTGAAAGTCTTAATCTCTCAATTAAAAACAAGCAGTGCTTCAATATTTTATTTGAAAAATTGCCCTTTATAAATTAGGCCATTCAAAAAGTTCTGAGGTTTTTCACACCAAAGCATTTTCTTCTAATTATGCTACAGCATAGTTTTTGTTTAGTGTAGTGCTTAGAAGGAAGAACTTTAAAGTTTATTTTCATTATATTATGATCTTTTGTTATAACAAGAGAATAAACATGCCATCAGACTACTCCTAAAATTAGTGCAACGTATAGAAAAATTACTGTTTCTGATGGCACAGTTTGAAGTTCATTTGATAAGGTAGCGCCTGGAAATTTAAGCCTTGAAGATGAGTGCTGGCTCTGAACAAACATCATCTGTTAGCAAAGACCTGTTAAAAGAAGTTATCGCTGAAAATGTAACTTATGCAATTGAGAAAGTACTCAATAGACTAAATACACTGCTCTCCAAAAGTTAAGGAACAGCATGTTTTTTCTGTCTAATTTGAGTAAGAAACAGCATAGAAAAAAATAAATTTACAGGACATGTTCACTAAATGGTTCTTTAATGAATGGCATATAGAATGTTTTTAAAAGTTCAACACAAACATGAATTACAACAAAAAAGTGCACTCTTGGCAGAGCAATCCAGTCTTGGAGAAGCAGTATATCAGTTTTTGGAGGGAAAATGTGGTGTTAACATTACCAAAATAGAACAAATGTGTCCTGCTTGTTTCAGCGGCACGGACTATTTCTATAGCTTTATCTATTCCTAGGTTAGATTCTTGAAGCAAACGTTCGGTCAGACTCCTATCCCGAATGCCTAATACAATACGGTCGCGAATCAATCCATTTTCTTATTCAGCAAACTCGCAAGTTGACGCTAAAGTCTTTGACTGAGTGACATAACACTCAATTGTTTGTCCTTCTTGCTGGCTACACGAAAAGAATTTGTAACGTTCCTATACGACATTCTGCCATGGTAAACAATAATCTTCAAAAGACTTCAAGACCTCTTTGTACTTCTCCTTATTCTCAGGTGGCTCAAATCGAAACGAGTTATAAATTTCGAGTCCTTCAGTACCAAGTAAATTCAAAAGGATTGCAATTTTAGTCTTATCTGGCTTGACATCTTTTTCCGTTGCAAGTAAATAGTTTTCTAGCTCTTGCTTCCACTTTTCCCATTTTTCTTTAACATTTCCGACGGATAATGTTAGCAGAGCAGGTGGTCTGAAATCCATTTTGCTCCTGACATCATGTAACTTCTTGTGTAGTTTGTTGAATTTAATTACTTCTGTACTTTAAAAGAAGACTCAACTAATGAGTATATCTCAAGAATTAAAAACTTTTATTATTACAATTTTAAACAGTTCACATGACATTCAGCTAGCACAGTAACACGTGCATCACAACAACGGAATCGCATAGCATGAGCGCCATTAAAGCCAAAGTTATTTTAAATATACATTACAGGGATAAGCCAAAAGAACCTGCTTTAGAAACGCTGAGTTTGAGGGCCACATCCCAAGAAAGTAATGCTTTGTGTCTGATGGAACTACTAAGGAATTGTGTACTATTAATAATTGCCATCAAATCAGACTATAAATTCAGGAAAATATGACTAACATGTGTCAGTTTTAAAAAATGAAATTAAAACAGAGTGCCCAAAACTGACCAATCCTCGAGATGTCTTCTGTCATTATGGTGTTGAACCCACATTTTGATGAACATGATTTTTAGGTATTGTTTAGAGATTTCATGTCATTAGGTCTTGCCTCCTCTGATTTTCATCTCTTCAGGTCACTTCTTAATTTTATAAATGGCCTGGAGTTTGTTTCTTTAGAGACACTCGGACAGCATCTCGGTGAATTCTTTTCTAATAACGTTAATGACTTTCTTGAAAAAATGATTTCCCAGCTGCCTGGGAGATCGTAGCAAGTCATAGAATAAAATGGCATTAATGTGATTCAATAAAGTTTCTTGTGCTTTTGTTGCTTTCAGTATTGTATTCAGTATTTCAGTATTGTTGCTTTCAGTTATTGTATTTATCATGAAAATATTGCATAACCTTTTGGAATGCATTTCCCTCAAAGTGCTTCTTCATGGCATACACTATGTTTCCCATCAATTTTTAGCTCCACCAGGGGCAGTTAAGACATAGGTTCAAGCCAAGACACACAAACTGCCTGCAGGGTTGGTTTTTCTCATGTGCGGTGGGAATATGATCCAGTTTTCTCTAGAGTTCTCTATAAAAACATCCTCCTTCTAGGTAGATAACCCTTGTGTGCTTTGTATTCAAATAACCTTAACCTAACCAGCTAAACCACCATTTTAACACTTTTGGATTTTAAGTAACTCTTTTTGCTTACGACAGTATGGAGGGGGAAAAACTTCTGACACTGGCCCCAAGAAAAATTACTTGATTGATTAATCACTGACATAAATGTGAAATCGTATCATTTCATTAAATCTTATTAACTGAATATCATGCATATTAAATTAGTGTTGAGTAATGTTTTCCTGTATTTGTCAAATTTGCAAGTTGTTCGACTAGAAATAAAACATTGTTGGTTTATGTTTGATATTTTAACATTAAAGTATGAAAATAATTGTTCTGAAAAGCAATCAAAGTTCTTAATGCCTAATGTTGATTAATTCCAATTTTTTTGTGCATGACCTGGAATTTTCATGTAAAGTAATACAAACCATGCAGTATTTCCACACTTTAGATTTTAATAATGGTTGGTTAGAATGCTAAATTTGTGGGAGATGATTCTTTCTCCAAATGCTGTTGTAGCACTCATCAAGCACACATGGTGACAGGTGGAGGAGCATCATCTTGCCAAAATGCATCTGTAGAATGTCATCAGTGACATTTCGCTGCTGCAGTTCAGGAGTTTTGTAATTCTGCAACATTGATATATACCAAACACTTGTGATGGAGTGCGTTTTCATACCTGTGAAAGTGATTTCTTCAAAGTATTGACCGAGTATGAATTTGCTTGTGATGCTGCACCACGTAGTCACTTTAGCTTCATGTAAAGGTGCTGAGACCATATTGTGAGGATTTTCATCAGCCAAGTGAATGCAGTTCTTGGGATTTACATTTCCAATTAACAGGAGAAATGTGCCTCATTTGTCCATAATATTTGCAGCAGTCATCTGCTGTCTTCATTATATCTGATGAGGAGAGATTTGCAATTGCTTCAAAAAATTGTGTATTTTATTTATTTCAAATTTACATGTAGTTGGTTAATAAATTTAAAATACATTAATATGTATTTTGTAATGAAGATGTTTTAACATTCATGCGTCAGAGTGATCATAAAAAAAATTCTTAAAATAAATCCTGATTAAATTACAGTTTACTTTATAATGCATATATAAAGTATGTACACCAATGAATATGTTCAACATTTACATGAATTAGTCTAAAAATTTCGTATGGTAAATTTCAAAATAAGGATCCAGGTAGTGTGCTACTCTACATTCTTTGCATCAGAATCATGTCCCCCCATTTTTTTTCCCAGTTGCAGGTCTTTTCTGAGCAACAAACGGGATACTTTCAGTGAGTCTGTTTCAGGAGTAGGAGGTTTGTGGCTTGCAAAATGATGAGTTGTTGATCCCAAAAGTTTGAGAGTGGAACAAGGTCTTTCAAGTGCACTTCCATCTAAATACTTTTGTATACTTTGCTCAATCATTTGCATACAAAACTCCAGATCTTCAGTTATTGATGTGAGTCGTTCTTTTTGAAAGTGCATAAGCATATGGAAATACAAACATTTTGGATTGTTATTGAATTATTTTCGGATTCATCATTATCTAGATATGAGCCTGAGAAAAAGCAATCTGTTCTCTATTGCTATCATCAGAATAACTAAAATTACTTTCAGTATCAGAAATATCACCAGGGACATGCATTCTTTAACTCGCTGAACATTTCCTGCAAGCCAAATTCTGAATGTAAGAAACAAAAATGATGAAAGCTGGGACGTATATGAAATCAGTTAGTGAAATCCATGATAATACAGAAATTTAGTCTACAGTACTGTCATCTTTTGACCTAAGCATAATTCAGTCTTTAAATATTGTAGAAAATTCATTTTTGATGATTAAATGGGGGCGTTCGAAATGTGTTTTAAACAGAGGGGGAAATAGCATACGTGCAGGATCAACAAATATTCTTACTGTCATGTTGCCCATTCAGAGGGTTAATGGTTTGGTTTATTTGATTATGGCAAAGCATTTGAAGGCTATCTGCCTAAAGGAAGGGAGAGATGCCTTCATGGGAAACTGGCCTGTATACACGTTACGTAGCGTCAAAATCATAAAAGCCACCCATGCTGCCAGGCTGTTCGCATAATTCAAATCTCAGACCGACCTACCAGTGTTTAGTGACTTAATCACTCCAATAGTGGGCCAGAGGGTGAGTTAGTTTAGCTGGTAATTGCTCTTTAAATAGAGCTGTTGGTGAGCAGATTCAAGATGTCATGCCACTTAAAGGAGTAATTTATAGTTCACATTGTCTCACTTTACCTTTCATAGATTAAAAACTGTAAAAGTATGTATTATAAACTAGATTTAAAGATTAAGGAAAGTTCCTGTATGCAAGTCTGAGTTGACGCATCATAATATGTTCAATGACAGGTTTCACATTTTGGTAATCAATTATAAATTTATGGAAAACACGAATAAACATTGTACATGTTCTGTACTCACTATTCCCAAATAAAGTATTAAAAGAAGATGAATTGTACCCACTAAAATGGAAAAGAATATTACGCAAGGCACTTTTATTTAAGGAATGTATAATATTTAGTGAAATAATGTACATTATTGAAATTCATCTGTAAATAAATGTATACTTCAAGCACTTTTGTATTTTCACTAAAATTAATTCTTAAAGCATAAAAGTGGGCCTAAAATCAATCATAATGGGAAATAAAATCTTATTTTATTTGTTGGTTATCTACCTTTGCTAGTACTTCATTACAGAGATTCCGTTTGGCATCTGAAGTATCTGTAGCTAATCTTCACTATTTGATAAATAATCATCTTCTCTACCCAATGATTTGGAAATGCCGCAATTTTCAAAAGAATTTATGATGTGCTTTTATATTTTTCATTGTTAATTACAGAAAATGAAGTTGGATAGCTAGCACATTTTCTTTTGGAAGAAAGATTTCTGCTTGCTATCATCCACCTATCCTACTCAGTGTGCATTGCGAATTTATTTAAAAAAAAAAAAAACTTTGCCTGTTTTAATTTTCATATAGTTTATATTAAGTAAGCTTTCTTGGAGTAATGGCTAAATTGATTTCATAGCTCCTCTTTCATTTGATCTCTTATGTTGGGACTGGACTGTAACCCACAATAATAAACTCTTTAATTTTACTAATTAACATGTGGAGGATAATTGTATACATTTTTATAGTAGAAATTTTGATTTATCCTATAGGATAAATGTAAATAAAAATTATGCTGAAATATTTTGACATTTTCTCTTAAACATAATAATTTTGTGCCATCTGCCATGCATTTCAGCTTCACAGTAACCTTCCACTTCCCAAGTTGGTTTTTTTGCTAGCTGAATATGAGCCTTTGTATTTGCTCTTTAATTTGAAGGCATCAAGGTTGTTTCATCTATAATCCATGTATTCCCGTGTAAATTGCTTTATTATAAATCTTTAAAATACATTAGTCTAATCTTTTTGGATCTTTGAAATTTTCTTTTATAATTTAATTCTTGATGTAAAATGTATATTTTCAGTTCATAAATTGACTACAGTAACTAACATTAGTCATAAAATATTTCACATCTGTATGAGATTTTGCAATTTAATTGCATAATAAATCATATATACATTGTCAATTTTCCAGAGTCCTTTTTACAGTGTATTTTTAGCTTCTGAAGTGTAACAAGCGAGTTTTAGTTTTGGCGTGTTTTTCTAATACTGATTACTAGTGTTTCTGCTATTTTTCCCACCTTTTCTAAGCCTCCAATCCTTGAATAAGATTCTTAGTTATTCCACAATGTTCAACACTAATTTTATCTGCTGGCATTATCTTGCTACTTATCATATTTATCTCTAGTTTTTTATGTTCTCTGAAAATATCTGCATCATTTTTTACCCTTCCTCAGTGCTTTCAGGGAATAAGGTCCTCTAAATTTTAAAACCAGTTTATCCTTATAGTAGTGATTTTCATTTTACTATCGAAATAAAAATTTGCAGATAACCTGTGAAGACCACGCCAAACCTGTACCTTGAACTGTTTGACTGGTTGTTCTGTGTTTTTACAAAGTGCATATCCTTTTTTCATCAACATACTCTTGAAGCTGTATCAGAATTTCAGCCAGGATTAATTTAGTAGGTTACCATATTTTGTGGTTGAAATAGTACCCTGTGTTGCACTTACTTCCCATCCTAAAGAATATATTTTCCTTTTTTCTGTTATATTTAAAACTTTTTATACATTTATATTGTATGTTTGTCTATATAAAACAAGTTATTGTGTTAAGGGACAGTGTTTTTCTGCATTCAAGGACAGTAATCTTGATTCATCAAACCATTAAAAAAATGTTCGGTTAACTTACATATTTCGTGTATTTAAAATTACAAATCATGTAACATCTTGATGTTCTCTTACGTATTGGAAAATACTCTACTTTTTGCATGTTTCAACTGTCACCAATTGTGGACATATGGTCATTTTTATTAGATAATTGTTCTATTAAAGTTTTAGGAATTTTAACTGTGCTGTTTAAAGCAGAAATAATTTTAGTATTATTTTGTACAATTTATATGTAATCTTTTATATAGTTTATTAAGAACAAGCTTAATATGCCACTGAATTTTGAAAATATGCAGCAAGGTTCTGCAGTATTTTTTCCTAGAAGGAATATTAAATTGGCATATAATAAACTTTGCATTGGTGTCACTTCATTTGCAGATACACCAGTCATTTAAAGCAGCCATTCATCTAATTTGAATGTGGAATTTCTTATAAGGCTGTGGATTTTATGACACTGTAACTTAGATTTTTAGATCATAGTTTATAACTTAAACTGAACATTTTAGTATATTTTGTATATAAAAGCTACAAATATGGTAAAATGTATACCATATTGTGTGTCAGTTGTATCATCGGTCATTGATTTTAAAGTATTGAAATTATAATCTAAATACTTGATGTCTGCAGATTTAAGATCTCTTAGTACTGAAAGGCTAGCAGCTTCCATAGTAGAACAAGTATTGGGACCTGCTTTAGCTATAACTTCTAATGCTGGATCCCATCTGCCTTCACAAGCTGCCAGTGCTGCTGCAGAATCTCAACCTTCTACAACGATTTCTAATTTTATGTCTTCTCGTATAGCTGAAGGTATTATTTATAACTGAAATCTGAATTTAAATTTTGAATTTTAATTTTACAATTAGCCATTTCCTATGAAAATATTGAATACTGCATTACGTTTAAAGCTTTTTTCTTTGTAATACCAATGCTAATAAAGTTGGGCCTCCTTGTTGCATGGAAACACCTTTGTTCTAGAGCATTTATGCCTAGAAATAACATGCATTGATTAAATTACTAGAGTATTGATTTTGTAAGGTTTAGAAATCGCAAATATGCGTATGTTCCACACACACAACTTGAATACATATGCAGAGGTAGGCTACTGCATGACGATCAACATTAATATGAATGTCTTGTTTTGTTTCCATAAGCTGCATGAGATTTTATGTGGAAGTTTTATTTTAAATGTAGTTAAAATATTCATAATTATTATATTTACTATTTAGACTATCCATTTCTGTATCATTTAAAAATATGTAAATTTAGTTTGGCTTTTTGAGACATACTGGTATTCATTTATTCTGAGTACGGATCATAGACAAAGTTCTAGTATCTAAATGAAGGAAGTGCATGTTCATGAATTTGTGTTTGTTTCAACAGATTATTTAATTTGTTAGCGCTTTGGGCAGTTATGTGAAATTTTTCAATTTCGTTTTCATGTACTTTTTTAATAATTTGCATTTCTTTAAAGAGTTTTTTTTCTTTAAAAGAGTGTCTTAAAGTAGGCCATTCATGCATTATTTTTAAATGCAATACCAATCTTTATATGTTTATTTTCAGCTACTCTGTCTACATCTCAGCTGCAATGTTGTGAATCCATCCAGCCGCCAACAACCAGGTTAGTATTAGAACAGTTGTTTTCATTAAAGAATTTTTCTAGTTGCTAGAACAAATGCTTTTTTTTTTTTAATTTGGAGAGTTTGTAACACACACAGATAAAGAACGTAAAGAAGGGGAAGAAAGAGACTTTCAATATTTGATTATTAAAATGGTTGCCAAGTACTAAGGTTTTCAAAGTAATGCAACCTCAAATTGGGTATAATTAAGAAGTAATACAGTACAAAGTTTGAAATCTGTACATCCAGTATCTGGAATGATCTAATATCTGGATCACTAACGATTTCTTTTAATCAAGTCCAGGAATGGTGAATATAATACTGAAAAATAAGCAGATGTGCCATAAAAGCATTTTATCTTTCAACTAGCTGACATTCTTCTAAGTCTCTTTCAAACACTTGCTGTCTAAGGAATCATACTGTGGCTAATGAAAATTAATTGACTGATGTAGCCACAACAACACTTTTGGCCTCTGAGTAGTTGTGGAAGAGGATTCATATTTTGCTGTCTGTGAATATATATGACAATATGTGAAAAATTGTGCTTTTTATTAACTTTCCGATTTGATCCATATTATATTTCAAAGACTTTTAATAGTAGTTAACTGTAGTTTTTTAGTTCGTTGTATGAAGTGAATTGTAATCACGAAAAATTCCAGGTGTCATATTTCAACGAAAATATACATTTTGACTACTATCGAATGCAATTTAAGGATGTTTTGGCATCTGTACCTAAGGACAGAACAATGGACTTTTTTCTCCCAAACAAATTATAAAACTGATTTAAAATGGATTTAGAAGAGATTTTTTTTTTCATGGTGTCTGTACGTACATACATATATATGTATCTCACCTAATTCAAAAATGAGTATCCTCAGAACTTAAAAATTTTTTTTAAATAGGATTGCTGTAATATGTATCTGTGCACCTCCCTTTTTGGTTGCAATTGGTCATCGCGGCGCGCAATGAACTGGAAGTTGATCTGTTGGCACTATCCTTATCTTCAGGGCAGATGTTTTTATTTGGCTTATAATTCCTTACTAAATGTAGTATTTCATCTTAATGTACTTTGATATGATTTAAATAAAATTTCTCGTCATTATAAATATCATGAACACATATCAAATCGTTTTCTGGTTGCAATTTTCTAATTTCGACTGCGCGCGTTGAAAGAAATGTTTAATAGAGTAAACAAATAAATACTAAGCTTTCTTTTTTGTAAATTTTGATAGTCTTTAGATATCATAATTGCTCTTTTTTTTCATAAATTATGGTTTCATATTTTTAATTTTATAATTTCTGCACGCCATCTTACCAGATTTAAAACGATGATCTATAATCCAGAAAAACCAATAATCTGGAAATGCCAAAGTCTTGACAAGTCCAGATTAAAGACTTTTTAGTGTATAATGGAATGATAGAGCAGTTAAAAAAGGCTGGTTGCTTCTATCCAATTAACGGAGGCCTTTTCTGCAGTAACTGTGAATTTTGGCATTCTTTTGGCCACTAGTGCAGAATAAACACACCATTTCGCTCAGTTGGATAATCCAATATGGTGGATATATTAGTATTTAGAGAAAGTTTTGAGGTCTTCAGGTTTTGTAAAGAATAAGTAAATTTTGAATGTCTTAATAATAGTAAAAAGCATATTTTCAATAAGTTATATCAAATGATGCTATATAGAGTATATGGGCCTGGAATCACTGAAGGCTCCATAATTCCAGATGTCTATCTTTGTATCAAAGTTTATTTTACCTGTAAATTCATTATTTAACAATTAGAAGTAATATATTTATGTGTTTTATTAATAAGTAGCATAAAATATGTTGGCAGATTTTATGGCTTTAGTTACTTGCAATGTACTTTTAATTATTTAAATAGGCATATATATATTTAAATCTTACAGCAAAGTACATTTATCAAAATTAATTCAATAAAATAACTAATTGTATAAAATTCCTTGGCCTTTTTTAAGGGGCAGCTAAAGAAAACACACCGGTATTTCTAATTTATACCCGAATGGTGATAAATACTTGAAATAATTAAATTTTAGAAAGAACATACTGAAATGAAATAAGAAATTGTAATAATACCAAAAAAAAAAAAAAAAAGGACGGCACTTTTAACTGAATTAATAACTCTAATTAAAGTATTTTATTTAAATTAACTTTCATTTGGCATTTTCTCTTGAATTATGTGAAGAATTTATAAATCACCCAGATTTAATTGAGAAACAAGATTGTGTTGAAAATTCTTCATCAGCTCCTTGAAAAAGACCAAGAAAACTTGATAAGAAAGAGTTTTCAAGAATTAGTTATCTTATTTTACTGAATTGGTTTTGTTTCACATTTGATATGTGCACTTCGCTGCTGTTAACACTTTTATTGATTTAATTATTATCTCTTAACAGTGTTATAAATTTCACCACATACTGTGTGACTTTTTAATCTATTTTGAAATTTCTAAACTTTTTATTATAGATATGTATAAAATATACAAGCCAAAAGCATTTCTCTCTTAATTTTGCCATTTACATAAATGCCAGTAAACAATGATAGTAAATATGACTTTAGGAATAGCCACTTGTATTTGTAATCTTCATGACTTTTCAAAACAACTTGTCATGTTATACCTGCAGGCTTGTGATGTTATTCCTGCAGGCTTTAAATAAATAAATAAATAAATAAATAAATAAAAACTTTTTCATGATTTTTAACCTATTGATGTTTTTTCTGCACTTAGCAGTTTAGTTATGTTCAGTTCTTTGTGCAGTCTTTTTACACAATTATTAATTTCTACCACTCGATTGCCTCTGTTTCAGCAAGGGTTATGCAGAAAGGTGAAGCATGATTTGCAAATTTAAGTATATAATGCGGCACAAAGCAGCATTTCATACTTTTCGTTTACTCATTCCAACTTTATGCAGTTTTTTAATACCATTTTGAATTTCAGTTAGAAAAAAGATGTGCTAATTTCACTAAAATGATAGTATAAAATTTTCATTTCTTGGCCACATTACATAATAAAAGTATTAGTCGTAATACTGTTAGACTTTTTGAAATTTTCAACATACAGCTGCAAACAAATAATTATACACTCTGTCACAAAAGAATATATGTACCTCGAAGGAAACGAATTACTATCATGAAATTTAACTTCTATGTACTGAATGATGATGTATACATATGATTACAGATTCAGAACAAGATCGTTTTATTAAGAAGTTATGGCATGAAAAAAGGTTACAAATCAATCAGTATAGCCGCCTCAGACAGCTATACAAGCTGAAACACGGCATGGCATCGAATCAAATAGGTCACCTGGGCAGTTTGATTTACCAGTATTTCCGGACGGCTGCAGTTGCCTTTTAAGCATGTCCCAAATGTGCTGTATTGGAGAGAGGTATGGTGACGTGGCAGGCCATGGGAGTACCCCATGACCTATAAGACATTGTTAGAAGAGTCTCACGGTATAACGGTATGTGGACAAGCTTTGTTTTGCTGATAAATACGTATGTAATTGCAAGCCGTCACTGTGCCTTGAAGGATGACTATAGGTGATCTTGTGTCCCAACAAATTGCTACCCACACTGTCACACCTTGTGTAATCGCTGTATGCTACTCGACAACAAATGCCGGATCGAATTATTGGCCAGACACCTCCACATGCCTGTGCATTGGTCATCAGCACTGAGACCAAACCAGGATTCATCGCTGAAGATCACTTACCTCCAGTTGGTTGCGTTCTAGCTTACTCAAGTGAGGCAAAAGTCAGTTGACACTGCCTGTGATGTGAGGTCAGTGGTAGACAACTTAATGGATGCCAGTAGCATCAGCCAGTCATCTTAGAATTGTTTTCCTTAATACCACCAGATGCCTGGAAGGGTGTAAATGTCATCAAATCGATATTAATGACATTGTTGGTACGGAATTGGCCACTCTTATGGTTGTACGATTCTTGTGCTCATTCCTGGGTAGCTCTAACTCTTCGTGACATAGACTATCCCTTCCATGATCCGTTGTTGTCAACACCGAGTAATTAACGTGTCGCTTCGACCAAGGTGGCAGCGGATGCACCTGTTCGACAAATCTGCTTTTTAGGCCTTTTATACGCTCCTTCCTCTCCGTGACATAGACTATCCCTTCCATGATCCATTATTGTTACACCATTAAATTCATGAAATTGGGATCTGCGTTATAAACAAGCCAGAATTACTCAAAAGTATATTTTTCTTAACCTAATAAGACTTTCCTGTATCTTATGGAATTTTAGAATTTTGTAAAATGTAAGTTACCTTTGGTGTTCATGGATTATTTGAAATTAAAATTGAATCTTTCTGTTCCTGGGGTAAAATTTCTGCTTATTTCATTCATTTGTGAAAATGAAGTCGTACATTTTGTATGTATATTCATTGCATTAGATGTATTCTGTCATATGTTCTCATTTTATTTGTATAATTCCTTTCTTCAGTTTTTCTACACCTATGGATACTAGTGAATCTGATCGTCTCACATCATCTGATTTATTAGAAATGGACCTACTGAATCCCGACTTGACATTTGGGCCTCGTCTAATGACATCAACTCCATTGTTAGGTTTGTATTATTTACTTTGTTAATCGCATTGCTGGTTTCCAGCAATTTAGTTCCAAAAGATTTTATTGCAAAATGTGTTTGCTCTGAAAATTTCCTTCATATTGCAGAAGAAAAATGTAAAAGTTTTTTATTATTTGGTTACAAATAAACAACTGATGTTCAGTACATCACCTTTGTGTGGGTCAGAACAAAAACAGAATAGAATTATCGGAAAATGGAAAATTGGAATTAAAACATAAAATGATTCAATAGGAACGCATTTAGATATACAGTCAAAAGTCGTTAATTCGGACACCCATAATCCGGAATGATCTATAATCCGGACCTCAAAGCTACAAACTTTCTGCGCATGCCTCGCGTTGATGCATGTGCATAGGCGTTTACGCATGCGCGTAAGACCTTTATGGCTCTGAATATGCATGTGTGCATGTGCATAATACGTTTATGCATGAGCTTTAATGTATAGCGAACGGTATAAGCCAAGCAAAAATTATCTAATTCAGTTATTGTTGCAGATTGTGTTGTTCCTTAATCTTCGAATTGGATCTGGCTTATTATTTTTTGCAGACTGTTAGAGCAATTTTATAAAAGTAAGCTTGAACTTTCGATTATGTCAAATAGAATTTCCGATATATATTTACTAGTATGTAAAGGATCTACAAAACGAAAGTATGTTTCGAAGTCCATTAAACAGAAAGTGGAATTGCTGGGGGGGAAAGGATAAAGGCATATCCTTTGATTATCTAATCATTCCGAAATATGTTTATCAATTTCACGCTGCTCTGCGGGGGGGGGGACGCGGCGCACAATGAATTGGAAGTTGATCTGTCAGCACTATCCTTATCTTCAGGGCAGAGGTTTTTATTTTATTTGGCTTATAATTCCTTACTAAATGTAGTATTTCATCTCGATATACTCCGTTTTTGATATGATTTAAATCAATTATCGCTTCCGATAGTGAAGAAAGTGATACAGAGGTTATTGAAAACGAAAAAATTTCGATTGACAACTTAGTCTGTATTCTCGTCACAGAAATTATAGGACTTTGTATCAGCGGAACTTTGTAACGAAACAAGAAATTATGTCTGTTTAGTAGAATTGAAGATAAAGTATTATCACATGAAACGAAGCAACTTAAACAACTTACATTAAAAGAAATGTTTAATAAAGTATACAAATAAATATTAAGCTTTTTCTTTTTGTAAATTTTGATACTCTTTAGATCATAATTGTTCTTTATTTCATAAATTACGGTTTCATATTTTTAATTTTATAATTTCTGCATGCCATCTTACCAGATTTAAACTAATGACCTATAATTCGAAAAAATCGATAATCTGGAATCGCCGAAGTCCCGACGAGTCCGGATTAACGACTTTTGACTGTATTTCACAATATTACTGCATTTAGGTACAATGAAAATCATTTTCGTACAGAAAAAATTTTGAACATGATTTCAAAGTATTATTTAGTAATCTGAATTCAAATTATGTATTTCTTGTAGTGAATTTTAAGATTTTATGCAGTTTTGATCAATGATTTGTCTTTAGATACTGTAGTTAGAGGTGAAGAAAATTACCATGAAGTTTTGTAGAACACTGATCGATATAGAGAGCTTTCCTCTTTGCAATAAAATATTTACTTTAAATAGGGATTGAAAACCTTCCTCTCATCTAGTGGTTGATGACAAGTAGATAGTTTTTGAATTTCATAAAGATCATTTTCTGTATTTTTTGTCTCTAAGGTAACTTTTTGTGTTCCTGATATGTTACGTATTAGCATGTCTTCCTTTGAATCTCACCAAACGTTTGTTTCACGGAAATGTTTAACAGCTTGATTCCCGGCCACTGGCAACCCGCGACATGACAAATAGTAAAAATACATGGTAAATATCTATACTGACACGTTTTTAAATAATAACCACTGTTACTATAATGGTTTGAAAAATAATAAATCACAAAATGGTCTACAGCACTTCGGTGGTCGTCGATGACCTCCACCATGAAAAATGCATTAAACAAGAATCTATAGCTCACCTTATCTTCTGTAGGTAATATTTCAGCATAGTTTATAACATCGCATAATAAAAATTTCATGTTGGCAGCATAAGCAAGCCATTTAAAATGCACATGGCAGTCAGCATGTTAAAATTGCTTTATTTCTTTAGCATTTGATAGTCTACTGCTTATTGTGAAAATGTTTTTCAAAACATCTCTGACATTTATTCGAGGTTCAGACTTGGTACGTGAAGGTGCAGTTGCCCCTCACTCCCTATTTTTGACTTACCTGACTTTTTTTTGCATTTTATTCTATGTGTCATGTTTGATCAGATAGCCTGGCTCAGTAAAAGTAGGCGGCCAGTGTAACTCTGATTCAAAATCCGGTTACGACCACATGTTTCTGAGACTCCTTTGCTGATGCTTTATTTTTCTTCTTTTTTCCAGTTTCTAGTAATTTCGTTCTTCTAATGACGGGGGACCTTTAGCTGCCCTCGAAATCGATTGAGTGTTTAATATATGTATGCTAAATACAAGGTTGTTATTGCGATTTTGATTGTCACATTGGTGTGTTTCTCTTCTATTCTATCTCTGACATTCTTTACTGGTAATCAGTTATGCAAGATATGCAAAAGACTTTTTTTTAATAATTAGCTGGATAAATTTGCATTCTCATTCATTAACATTTTTGCAAATTTTCTTTAGAGATAAAAAATTTCACATCTCTCGCTTGCTTTCTATTAATGGAATGGTTTACTTTCCATTTTTTTTTTTTTTTTTTTTTTTTTTTTTTTTTTTTTTTTTTTCATGCCATCTAATTCAATATTTTTCAATTAAAGAAACCTTGTAAACTTACTTAATGTGTTCTCAATTTTATAGCAATATTGCAGAAATAACAATAGTTTATAGTTCAGAAAATTCATAACTGTTGTTTTGAAAGCAACATGAGGAAGGGGTTTTGATTCTTATGATGTTGTACTTAAAGGTAAAAAAATTAATTATGAAGTGGAACGTTCTATCGATTTTTGTCATATTTCTGGAAACCTTGAAGTAGAGGGGCAAAGTAATAATTTGGCATAAATTTTGTATTTCTTAATTATAGTTGTTTTTAATATTTATTATTATAATGTTATTTGATTTTTTTTTTGTCTATTTGTTTTTCAATTAAAATTTTATTTGTATTTCTTTCAAGTACTTATTTAATTTTGAGCAAATACTTTTGTGTATTAGTATAGTGTTTGATAGGTTATCTATTGGAGCAGTTTTTCAGGCATCTTATGAATCTGTATTTTTTTCAATGGTCTACTCTTTTGAACTGCCCATAGTAAAATCCATAGTTTATGTCTATTATAAAATATTTTGAAATCTGATGAAACAATTTGAATAACTATTTTCTTTATTGTACTGGCAGCTAATTGGTGCATTAAATAAAATAAAAAACCTAGTTCTGGTGTAGAAAGCCGTGGAAATGTTCTAATCATCACCAGGAATTCCTTCATGAAGTACAAATGTGATAGATAATATGAATAATCATCTTTATGTAATTGAAATTTCCATTTCATCTTCTGGACCTGAGAGATTGAGTACCTTGTTTTCGTTTGAGCATGTGTGACTGTGTATTTGATGTAGCTCTTTCTATTGGTGTTGAATGATGTCCAGGTGCAAATTCCACCTGTTATGGTAATTACTTGTTTAGGTACATCAGAGACAGTAAAAATGCTCTCCTATTGATATTGTGGTGCAAGGTTTAATAAATCTGCATATTTAGGACTACAAGAACTATTACCTTTAAAAAAAAAAAAAAGTGCATGATTTATTTGCAGATCTTGCTTTCAGAATTTGTTGAATCCGCAAAATATATTTAGAAATGTTCATTCTTACATGTACAATTATTATGTCATTCGCAGCCCCCCAAAAAGGTAATAAATTATGTCAAGCTTGTATCTCAGTTTCCAGTTAGTGAGTTAATCTTATGATGTTTGCATGGATTTTTATAAGCCATTATTTAGTTCATTCACGTGTTTGTTACATGTTTAAAAGTTTTCATCGGTTTAACCGGTTTCCTGATAAGCAGCGAGTTCTACTTTTGTACCTCCAGTGCTTGTAGTGAACCAGTTTTTTCAAAATTTAATGTTTAGATCTCAGATATTTACTATTTGCATCGTTTATGAGTCATAAAGTCTTTTAAATGAAATTTAGATTAAATTTTAAATTTCATTCCTGATTTTTTTGCCAAATTTTCGAAAATCATTCAATTTTTCTTTCTTTTCCATTTCATGTCTGTGATTTTAAACTTGTAAAAATGTATTACCATATTTGACGGCATATAAGACGCAGTGCCGTATAAGACACACCTTTATTTAGAAGGCCACACACAAGGAAAAAAAAGATTAAATAGTCCGTGCTACATCGCGGTACCACAATAACTTAAAATGTGGTTTCTTTTAGTTCTCACGTTTCATAAAATCCAAATAAACAATCATTGAATGCAATTACCAAACACATTTTTATTAAGGAAAATTAACAAACGGCAAGCTATTGTGAACATGATATGTAAATTTCAATAATGAATAAATGAATGAACAGCAAGCAAACATAATGCAAAATAAAGCAGAAACAACAAAAAACACAGATTCAATAAAAACATTGCCTATCATGAAATTAGACGTTAATTGCTTTCAAAACCATAAAAGTTCTTTTCACTATCATCATCATTGAAAACGAGAATTATCGTCATCACTACTGTTTCCGTCATTGCTAGTATCACCTTCTTCGAATAATGCATTGTCTTCTGTTCCGTCAAGAGTATTACTGATTCTGCACTTCTTAAAAGACTTAACAATTACTTCAGCCTTTACGTCCTCCCAAGATCTTTTTACCAACTCGCACACTTGTGAAATAGAGGGCCGCTTCATTTTACCTGAGGGTGTGAGGTGGCTTTCCTATCCACTTGTTCCATCATTCCCGCACTTTTTCCTTAAATGGCTTATTCACTGATACATCTAAAGGCTGCAATTGGTTAGTCAGTCCACCAGGAATGACAGCTATCTGGGTTTTTAATTCTCTCGCTTTATTCTTTATGCTTTCAGTTCTATGGGCACTAAACTGATCCAAAACAAAAAGAGAGGGTTTTCTTAAGAGTCCACCAGGTCGCCTTGCCCATACGTTCTGTAACCACAGTTTCATTCCAGCTTCGTCCATCCAGCCTTTCGGATGAAACATGAACAATTACACCCATTGGAAGTTTTTCTTTTGAATATGAAAAACAACGGTAGTTTTGTGCCATCAGCACATCATGTTAGAACTACCGTATACCGGGTTTTTTTTCATGACCTGTGGTTTTTATGGTTATTGATTTAGACCCTTTAATACTCAGTCTTGTTGGATGGTCCATCAAATGTGAGTGGAATTTCATCCATATTTCCTATTTGACCGAGCTGAAAAGAAGTTTTCTTGCGTGCATTTATAACAAACCTATGAAATGCTAGTATTTTTTCTTCATAATCTGCTGGCATTTTCTGTACAATAGTTGTTTTCGTGCGCATTGATAAGCCTTGCCTTTTCATGAACCTGTAGCACCAGCCCTCAGACACTGAAAAGGTCTGATTCCCATGTTTTTCTGCAAATCCTTTGGTCTCAATGATTATCATTTTGGTTGAAACACTTATCCCAGATTTCCTCTTATCTATCACCCACACTTTTACGGCATTTTCAAGTTCAGGCCAAGATGGAGCTGGGCATCGAAGGTTATATTTTTGTTTTTTAGCAGTCTTCAGTTGATCTTCCTGCAGGCGCCAAGTACGTATCATTTTATCGGTAGGTGGTGGACCAAAATGCCTTGCTGCTGCTCTGTTTTCATGCACTTTAGCATAGTTTAACACTCCTAGTTTATACTGAATTGTATAGCTTAATCTCTTGTTTCCTGTAGTCGTATTTTCCAGGGTATTTTTTTTTAAACAAATGGTTTTAAGCACCGATACCGACACATTTATACAGAGTAGCACCTATACCGACATGTGTGTCGGCTGAGTCAAAGAAAGTGTATGCAAAGAAGGAATCCATAGACGTAATCAACATCAGCTTCGAGCTTTGGCGCTTTTTGGCGACAGATATTTCACGCATGTGCAAAATAATTATGGCAGATGTAGAAAAAGTTATGTGTGTCTAGACCTTTATCTGGGCTAAAAGTAGCATTCAGTATTGAAAGTTAACCTGTGTCCTTCACATATAAGACGCAGGTAACTTTTTTGAGACCAAATTTAGGAAAAAAAGTGCGTCTTATATGCTGTCAAATACAGTAGTTACAAAGTTTTGAAACTTGCAGATTATGAAGCTAGTTATTCACCCTCTTTTAATAGCTTTTCAATCATTCTTTTAATTGTACATTTTTGTACATTCTTTTCTTTTTAAGCATCCTGCAAAATCAAACGGGAGAGTATCATTTCTTAAGCTTCAAAAAATATGTCATTGTATCTTTATGTACTTGGTTCCATCACTCTTCATTAATCTCAGAAATGATGGGATTGATTAGCATTTAAAATAATTTGCAATGAAATCCATTATTTTTAATGTTTTTATGTTGTCAATTTACATACGTTTTTCTCACAATTTCATTTAAAAATTTTTCTAAGTTTTATTGTGGTATGTCTTAAATTCTTTTATGGCGCTTCTAAAACTTTAGCATCCAAAAATGCAGGTAGTATAAAGTTTTGAAATTTCAAAGGTTGTAAAACTAACTCTTCACATTTTTTAAAAACAACAGTAATTAAAAAATATAAGCAACTTTCTGAATTTCTTAATCATGCGGCCATAGCACTGAGAGGATTTTAAAATCCATAAAATTATTAGTGAACTAAAGGGAGAAAAACAATCTTACAACTGAAATGGGGACGAGAGGTTAAATAATTAATTCGCTTTACAAAATTCATCTACTCTTTTGTTTCATAATAAAAGTGTAGTTGCTTAGTAACAAAATTGAATAATTTAGTAGCATTGTCAAAAGTGTAAACTATTATTATAAATTTGTAAGTATTGTTGTTGGCTTCCAGAGCCTATACTTGGTAATGCAAGCATTAAAACACTTTTAGTATTTCAAGTATAACTTGAAATATATTGCTTTTTTGCTTTTAAAGTATATGTAGCAACATTTACATTCATATGTAAAAATTAGTTGAATATGTATAATCTTTCTAGTTAGGCTGTTTAAGTATAATTTTTCATATCTGAAATATGACTGAACTGTATGTAAACCTCCTAGCTAACTTTCCACTAGTTGTTAGAAGAGCATGAGGAATAAATGCAAATGTGTTGTTGTTGTTGTTGTTGTTTTTTTTTTTTTTTTTTTTTTTTTTTTTTTTTTTTTTTTTTTTTTTATGAATATGTATGCTTTTTCTTTCATCCCTTGAAATTCATAATATTTATGATAAAATTATATTCAGTATGTTTTTGTTGTTAAAACAAGAATTTGTGAAAGGATTTCAGTTCAACCCTGAACTAGTCAGCTTCTATCTCTGAGACTGTTCCACTAATAAATCAGTTTGCATTAAGAATAAATGCTGTAATTTCACTATATTGCCCAATTCTGGAAAATTTTATTAGCATTCCCTTTCTCAACAAACTTCAAAAGCAAGTCACTTTTGCAGGAGTTACTTTTTATGCACCGCACACTCCAAAAAGATCGTTGAAATTTTTAGTTAAAAAAATATCATTTTTATTGCATGGAAATAATTTTGAAATACCTTCTAGAGTCAAATGTTGAGAGCTCAACTGCAGCATTTATACATGATTTAGAGAACCTAGAATCAGGTGGTCCTTTTCTGGAAGGTAAGTGTATAATGTGGCAGCATATGCTTGTTTGTCTTTAAATTCATGCCTTTAAGTGTTTGTCTTTAAAGAATATATGCTTGTCTTCTTTTTTTTAAAGGAATTACATTTTAGCTGGAACTGAAATTTTTCTTCATGTTTAAAATTCTCTGGTAAAATGAAAATGAACTAACTATCTGTTTCTGTCAACACCTGTGAAATATATCCCCATCATTATTAACTCTATGCTGAAAACATTTTCAATCATGCTGTAACTTAATGTATGGAGTTAGAGGACAGCAGAGTAGGGGTGATTGAAATTTGATAATATTGTGCTGTATTGTAAGATGGCTAAAACTAGTGTTATAATTTCTCTTGTTTGTGTTTAGTTTCGAAAAGATCTAGAGATTTGAGTAAGTCAAATTTAGAGTTGTGATATTAAGTATTACATTCCCGTGTGCTCACAGGCATTAATTTTCTGAAAGATTAACCTCAAAAATTAGGAATAGTTACAATATTGTAAATTACAAGATGTTGGTGATTTATTATCCAACTAACTGCTTTATGAAATCACTAAAAGTCGTATACCATAATAGACTTGCCAATTCTCCCAAGTTAGGTGAGGCACTCCAAAGTTTCAACAATACTCCCACCAATCTGATCTGCAGTTCATCTCTCCTGTCTTCCCTCTTATTCATAAAATTTTTCAGGATTTTTATTAGTCCGATGTAATATTTTGCTAGTTTCACTATTTCAGGCACCAGAAATGCTTTGCTTTTTCCCTGGATTACCCATTAAAAAAAAAGTTTCATCATTTGCTACCAGTACCACTGTGCATGAAGGAGTAAGCTTTTAAAATGTAGTAATTCAGTTGTCTAGTGGGCATCAATATAGCTGTAGGCCAGTTAGCGCAAAGTAAGATTCAAACAGTCTGTTGCATTTCTGGGGTTGCTAAACTAAGTGTTGTGCTTATTGAGTATTTACAGTCTCTCGCATTAGTTATGCCTGTAAGAAAAATGCAGTGTTAATAAACTTTTCAGTGTTAATAAACTTATGTAAATCATAATGCTTCTATTGTTTGAGGGAGAAAATGTTTCATGATTTTTTAATTTTGTACTGTGCGAAGATTCTGTGTTATAAACTGTGCTCAAAAACGCAAGTACATTATAGATCATGTTTTCCCTCCAGTTGTACTGTGGTTTAGCAAAATTGCTATGAAGTGGTTAAGAAACATTTACATGGAGGAACCAATATAACTGCTTTTAAATCAATATGGGGGGAATCGTTTAGAGTTGATCACATTAAAAGACTTCCTTTCTACTTTCCTCTTAACCACTCCACGGTCCTGCAAATTTCAAATATTTTTTCCCTCCAAAGGTAAACTTTTTGGTCTGAAACTGGCCTGAGTTAATGATAGAAATATTTCTTTCACCTTTCCCCAGGTGTGAAGACCTATTTAGAAGTTCTGTTCAAATCAGATTGAACCTCATATTTGTTATGTATGTTCTATAATGACACTGTGCACGTGACCGTGAAACGCAAAGGCTGGCACCATGTCGTAGATGACATATTTTCTGCATTAACCCAACTGTTTGACCTAACTGCAGGCAGCATGTTACTGGAAATATACTCCTGTCAGCAAGCCTAGATATCAGTGTATTTTAGGGAGCAATAAAACTTGTTTTTTAAATATGTAAATTTCTTGGTGTAACATATTAGATAATTTTGTAAATGATATATCCTTGCAAAAAAGGCATATATTAAAAAGGCTTCCATAATATACATGTAATATATTTATATATTAATATATGCTTATATATATTGGGCAAATAATTTCTTGATAAAACTTATCTGTAAATTAATTACATGTGTTCAGAACTTGCATCCCCCCCACTCTAGTCCTATGCATTTTAGGATTTTTCAATTTATATCTCATAGTAATGAAAGTAAAATCTGTTGCAATTTGTTACAATGTAAGGACAATTTTTAGCTGTCGAGTAAAAAACTATGAAGCTTGTGAAAGTAAAAATAATTTCATTAGCTAAAATGCTAGCTTTGCCTGCTTGAAATAGCCTTGAATACTGTTTTGTTATTTTCTTGATGCACTGTACAAACAGTGTGTTCAAAATTTTCCTTATATATATGTATGTGTTTATTTTTGATTTCTGTGAAAAAAGTTTTTTTTTTTTTTTTTTTTTTTTTTTAAGCTGAGATATTTAAGCTTCTTAGATGGGAGGTAGAGAAGCTGTAGGTTTACTTTTAGCCATTCTCAGTATTATGTATGTTTGTGTGAAGTAGTCATTCTAAGCCTACCTCTGGCTTGATAATATTAGAAATGCTGGAAGAGCTAGTGATAATTACATCACATTATGGTATAGATTCAAATTTGTGCTGAGGAGTTCTTTAGTACAGATATCTCATTTTTATGAAGGCAGCATTATAACCTCCTTGTTATTTCCTTATTTGGTCCATAGCGGAGTTTATGGTTCAGACATATATCTACAGTAGCAGTCGAAACTTGGTCACTGAGCAATGTACTTTTTTTATTTTCTAAAATGTGCACAAAACCCTCTTTTTCCATGCGTATTTTCTTCTATTTTAAGGTCTGAAATCTAATAATCCAAGTTATTTCTCAACAATTTAAATTTGTTGCTCGATTTATTTATTAGACCGGCAATAAAATTTAATCTTTAATTTATATGTTAGTCAAATACAGTCAAAATATCATTATTATAAAATGATATTCTGTTGCAGATTTTGGCAGTGCTGCTTCGCTGCCTTCATTTTCTCAGTCAGACATTGAAACTATAGATTTGTTGGAGCCATCTCATCAGTCTAGGAATGCAGTAATTGATCCATTTTCTCATCAGGACAGGAATGCAGTTATTGATCCATTTGCATCTCCCATACAAGATAGGAATGTAGTTATTGATCCATTTGCATCTCCCACACAAGATAGGACTGCAGTTATTGATCCATTTGCATCTCCCACGCGAGATGAGTCATCAAATGGTATAGTTGAATTTCCAAGTTCATCGAATGAACAGGTGAATTCAGAGGATTCATGTGAAGCTTCAGAAACTAAATTGGATGACTCGCGTTCTTCTGTAGAGACAATAACTGTTTTAGATTCTTCTGACGAGGAAGAAGCAAAGAGAACACAATTTAATGAATCACCAAAAAACCTGGATACAACAATAACAGTGTCAGATTCATCAGATGATGGAGAAAGAAAAAGTACTTCCGAGAATATTTCAGATACAACAGTAGTTGAGTTGGATCAGTCTCGTAATGATGGAGTATTAGTCCCACCAAATGCTGATGTAGTGATGAATATGAGTCATGTAGACAGAAGAAATTCAGTAGGAACTATTAATGTAGATCTTCCTATAGATGAGAGGACAGGTAACTTTCGATTGCCAACTTTAAGTGTTGTTCTTCATGATATAAATGCATGTTTGCCTGATGATAATACAAGTTCTTCAGATAGTTTTGCTCCGCAAACCGATGATGATGTAGAAGAGAGAAATTCACGAGAGCCTTTAAGGATAGAGGATCTGCCTAGAGATGAAAGAACAGGTGCTATTCGATTGCCATCAGTAAGTGTTGTTCTTCATGATATAAATGATCTTTTATCTCCAGCTGAAAGATCAACAATTTCCTCAAGTAGTTATGTTCCTTCTGGAGACCAACCAAGAGTGTCTACACCTAGTTTGCTGTCAGATGATGCTGTACCATGGTATGTTCTCAAATAATTATAGTTTAGGATTATACATATTTCTATTTTTTTTTTTTTCTTTTTGCATGCTATTCTTTATTTTCAATAAATGCAAACTTTTCAGATTTTAAGCTTCCTTTCTGTTAAATTAAATAATTATTCTGTTATTGTTGTTAAAAAATAATTGCTGTAGAGCTGTTGGATTGTGTAATGTATGCATTTTCTACTGTTAAAGTTATTTATAATATATTTCATATCATGGTGGATTATCATTTAAAAAAATGCCTTTTCATTACTAGTGTCAATTTGAATTGCAATTGCCTGCAACAAGAATCTTGAACTGTAAAATATTCCTGCAGATGATTATAAAGCATTGCAAAAATGATTGGTTGAGTCTCTCATTCTCAGCTATAGATTGAAGCAAATGTGGTTTTAACCCCTAGCGCTCCGCACATTTTTGTACCACTGCCTACCAGCAACTCTGGCACATTTTCACAGCAGAATGCATCATCCAGAATATCTGCATAAATCTCTTTCTTGTAAATATTTTACCATAGAAAGGGATGTGACTATTCTCCTTAACTGACCAATAATCCTGCATATTCGCCAGGGGTATCGTACCCATATTGAACTCCAATAAAAGTTTAAAACTCATCCTCTTCCACCGCACACCACGTTTTCCAAATAGAATTACTAGATATGTCTTTATTCTTTAGAACGTTTTCTGCGTAATTGTTGATTTCTTTTATAACTTCATTTACCAGTTTGTTTGTGAAAAATAATTTGAAATATTGTGTCGGCTGTGCAGTATTTGTAGGAATTTGTGGTCTATTTACCTTTGGTGGTACACTAAAATGTATTCTCTCCGGAATATCTAATTCTTCCGTGACATTGCGCCATTCATCTAAGTCTTCCGGGGACTCTTCGCTTTCACTTTCAATAACTACCATTCGTCGTCTCTACACATCTTCACTATCACTTAACTCTATATTCTCGTCACAATAATTATTTTTCTCCATGTTGCTAACCATAAAATGGGTAAAATAATATTTCAATCGTAACAGTAGCGAGATGAGCACGTTTTAACTACAGATAACAATTGCCAACACCGACAGTTCCGTAACATCTTAAGTCTAATCATGCTAAAAACATTGGGCTCCGCAGCGGAGCCTACGGAGTTATGGAACAAATGACGGATGGCTCCGTAACGGTGTGAATGGAACGCCAAGGGTTAATATGTTTTGTATTTTTTAAACATAATTGGGCATATTTCATGTTTTTAATTAGCACTGCCCTACGTTCTTATCTGTCGAGCCTTATCTCTAGCCAAATAACACTGATGAATAATAGAAGCTTGATCCTTGATGAATTGACTCGCTGCATTTTTCAAAAATTTCCTATGTATAACATGACTGTGAGTTAATTTCTCTTGGAAAATGCTCTTGAAGGTATTCCTCCCCTTCTCTGAGCCAATTTGTCTTAGAAAGTTCTCAAAGACATTCTTCCCCATAGGCAGGTAGCACTTGTATACTGTGTTTGAACAATTCTGTAATCTATCATTTGTGATACAACATGGTATAGGTATACAGGGTGTTCATAATTCAACAATGGAAAAACAAAATTAAAACATAATTTTACAAAGTAACAGGAAGTAATTTATGTTGGTATAGTCTTTAGTTCAGGAAATATCCTTTGTACTAATTTTTGGGAATGGAAACAGGAAGTGCTGTGAAGAAATTCCAGTCAGAGATGAAATTCTTTTGAAACATAAATAATTCAAATGAACAACCAGACTACCAGATTTTTTACATAAAGAATAATAGCTTAATTCCTAACACACAACTGATACATGAACCCGTGTATACTCATCAAACCTAACCATCAGCATTTAACAACTTTGTTAGATAGATACTCTCTAGGTCATGAGATATAATTTGCATTACCATTTCAAATTATAAACATTCATATTTGGGGTGGTGTTCTGTAAGATTAAAATGTTATACTCTGATGTATGAAGAAAAGTAAAAAATTATCCAGTGTTGTGTTTCCAGTTTATTTTGCTCTCAGGACTTGAATAAGTATCCCATTTTTTTATGTTCAGTGCACTTGATCCAGCAGTCATATCCAGCAACTTACATATTCTCTCCAAGAAGATGCTTTTTGTTTGCTTGCACAAGCATTTATGTACTGTTTCTTGTGTATATTTCGTCTTAGAATAGCGACAGCATTGTAAAGCAATTTTGAAGGATCTAAGAAATGATAGTAAAGATGCAATTTCTCAAAGTTTCAGTGAATGCAGCAGCTTTCAACCATGCATGTGCTCTGTAGCATTTCCTCCATCTTGTACAGACTTTATTGAGTCTGAATTTTTCGTGTATATTTTGAAAGGCAGAACAATGGCCAATTTTCAAAATTCTCTGGTAACTTCTCCTTTTAGCTAGTATCAACCCTTGAGTTTGATAAACCTTTTAGCCTGTGTTGAAGTTGAGGGGCATCTTGCTCTTTCTTCATGCATATTACTTTCATAGTCTCAATCTTTTCTTACGTGCTTCTTCACTGTAAAGTGTTCCTGAATTGTATGGAAACTCTTCAGTGAATTTCAGCCCGACAACTTCTGACAACAGAAATTGGACCAGTCTTCTTTGTTCCTTGTTGATATTCACTTGTAGCTTTATCGTATCAGCACTATCACATAGCAAAGAAAATGCCAGGATCAACTTCAGTCATATGCCCACAAGGGTACCAACTCTCAGCATGTATGGGAAACTTCAGTCATGTGACCACAATAGTCAAACCCTAAGTGTGCATGTACAGAAGGCAGTGTGACCAAGCAAAGATTTATAACAAAAGTGTGGATAATTTTATTTTTCCTTCTTTTCAGCTGTTCTCATAGCCAGTGCCAGTTCTAAAACTAGTGGAGTTGGGCAATAAGTCTTATATGCATAATTATTTGACTTTTATTTATTTTTTTATAAAAATAGCTCCTCAAGAGCATTCTGAAAATGTGTAGGATTTATTCTACCTATGTTTTTAATGAATCCCCAATTTTAAAAAAGAAACATATTAGCATAATGATATTTGCTTCTAACTGCAGTTGTTTTTAGAAAATAGATGAGATTGCTACAGTATAAGGTTCATTCAATGGAACAAAGAGCCACGTTTTTCCATTTTGAAGTAGATTTTTGGTTATCTAATATGTACTATTCCTTTGCTTTTCATACTTGAAAAATATAGCATCACTTTCAGAAGTAGATGTAGCACACAGCTAAACTTTATCATTTTGATTCTAATTTTTCAAGTAAATACTTAAATTCTCTACACATGTAATTATTAATTTTAAGATAACGAATAAGTTTTCCTGTAGTATATTTCTGAGCAATAAGAATGTCATGATGAGGAAATAATAAACATCAATATATTCATCATAAGATAGAAATCTCTTTATATAAAAGTTCACTTAACTATTTTTTTTTTTTAATGCTTCAGAAAAAATGTTTAATACTTTTTCAAGGTAAAGTTTAAAGAAAAAATTGAATTTAAATTTTCAGAGTATCGAACTTTGATTACTGTCAGTCAGTGTAGATATTGAAACTCCTGGTTTCTTTTTCAAAATCTGCTGCACTGCTGCATTTAAAAAAATAATATATGCTATTGCAAACAGCTACATTAAAAAATTTTCTTGCTGCGCTAACTGAGTCAAAGTAGTTTTTAGTCACATAATCAAAACTAAGAAATACGTAATTTCTCTCAATTAAAGCATTTTAGGTTTTATTTGACGGAATATTTTCTGTTTTTTGTATTAGTAAAAATTAGCATTTTGTCATTTATGGTTGTAGATGTTTTCATGCAAAAGTAATTTTCTCTTAATCTCTGATTTTATAAAATAATACTGTTTTATAAAATGTTAAAGAATTCAGTCTTCTCCTGAAAACCTTAGAGTAATGGCTGCCAGTCTTTTTAGTACTGCTGCTAGTATTAATACTGCATGATTTTTGTTCAATTTTTTAGCTTTTAAATTGAGCTAACTTGTTTGTTCTCTCTTCAATGGTAATTTTTTCAAATGCGTATCTGAGATATTTGTATGCAATTTAGTTTTATTTTTTCCCTATAGTGAACAGCCAAACGTAACTGAAAATGATGCTCCCCCTGACTTTTCCAATGTTTTAGGTGGTAAGAGAAATTCTGTTTTTTATATATATTTATTAAAACCAAGCCACTTAGTTCACAGTCTGGTTTCTAGGCTTGATGCATCATTTAATGGGATAAATAATTGCTATGTTTACAAAATGTTTTTTTTTTTTTGGTGGGGGGGTCATTATTTTTTTTCATACTTTTCATTAGTAATATGACATATAAGGCACTATTAATCTTATTTTTGTATGAAAACAAATAATCCGAGCAACATTCTTGAAAGTTTCGCACTTAGCCTTAGTAGGACTCTTGCTCTTGCAAAGCTATCATAAAAGGGAAAGCTATTTTAGATTCAAGTGGTAGGAAAATATGCCAAGTGTTTGTCTCATTAAGTATTAATTTTACACCTTAAATATTACTAGAGGAATAGATTTTAAATAAAATCAATAGTTATTAAATTATGTAAAAGGGAAATTCCTTTAGGACAGGTTGTATCAGTAATTCTTCAGATAAAAGTAGCTCTGTAGCATTTTCTATTACAGTCAAATACCGAAAATCCGCAGACCTGAAATCCACGTTCCCTCTCAAAATATAAGCATTCAGTTTATAGGTTCCACAAAACCGCAACATTGAGTACGAAATATCGAAGGAAAAATACCGAATAATGACATCATAATTACCGAATAATAATAAGTTGTAACGGAAATACCAAATTATTGAAATAAAAAATGTTTTAAAGAATAGGATAAAAGTTTCTTCCCTCTAATCTCTGCATTGAGGTAAAAAAGCAGAGGATTCACTCAACTCTTTAAGTTCACGATTCACGTATTTTCTGAGCTTTGTTATTTTATTTATAGATTGTTTTGTGCTGCCTTTTTTTATCCCAATATTTTGTGGATAAATTGAGAATATTTTAAATTTCAGCCCTTTTTAATACAATAACAGATAAAAAACGCACTCATGATTTTACTGCTTGCAACGTTGAAAAACGTAAACACGTTGCATTGACGGTAACACAAAAAGTGCAAAAGTTGGAGGCAGGTGCTACTCCTCGATTTATAGCAGAATGGTATGGAATTGAAACACGATTGTGTATGATATACGAAAAAATAAAGAAAAGCTGTTGAAATTTTACAGTAACAGTGATTCTAACACTGGAATCCGAAACCGGAAATCTTTGCATGAGGCGAAATTGGCAAACCTCGATGCTGTGTACATATAGTAAATGAATAATATAATCAAATTATATATGTAATAATAATTTAATGCATATAATAAATTATTGCAATATTGTATATAATAATTTATTTAAATGTATCTAATACGCCTTATTTATTTTGCCCGAATATTATGCTTTATCTCTTCTGTCCTGAAATCCGCAACATCGTAAAATCTGCACAGCCTCTGGTCCCAAGCTTTGCGGATTTCTAGACTTCTACTGTATTTGGAATGTCTTAACCTTTCATGCAATCCAGTGTTCAGCCTCACAGCACTTAATGTTTCCAAAAAAGCTATAAATAAGCAGTATTTTATTTATTATAACCCCCAAAATAGCCTGATTTTCTATCTTTACTTCCTGTCCCCCGTGTGTATATGTTGGGGGATTAGAATGCAGAGATTAGAATAGAGAAGGGGTATACATACACATGTGTGTGTGTGTGTGCGTGTAAGTAATTAAAAAGTATATTCTCCAAGGTATAGCCTATGAGATAACATGATACTTAGGTTCCTTTACAAAATAGTATAAAATAGTATAAAAATAGAAAAAGATGAAAGCTTAACCTTATTCAAACTTAATATGTTATGAAAATGTTATATATATATTATGAACTTAATATGAAAGTTAATATGTATGTAGAATAAAGTATAGGCTATCTCAAAACATATTAAAAAAAACAATAACTACTACAAGCAGCGGTAAATGGAATAATTAGCCTAATTCACCTTGGACCAACTCACCAATTAGCCTAATTCACCCTGGACTTTTCAAGGGAAATGCATGGCGAGATTCGAACTCTGCTAAATTCCACAATGCATTTCGTCAAACAGGACATTGAGACTGATAGCCAACAAATTTTTTTATTAAAAAGGTCAAAATATTAATTGTATCCAAGTCTCAATTTCCCTATATATGTGTAATATATTCAGGAGCAGAAATTTTGATGGCGTAGAAGTGTTGATCCATACTGACTAGGAAATTGGAGGCGAAGACAGATTAAATCTTCAGTTTTATTTTGAGCAACATGTTGCGGTTACACACAAGTCGGCACATCAAATGTGCCTGTTCCGAAAGGCTTACATTTTTTGATAGATTTGCAGCAAAAAAGAAGAAACAGACAGACTACAGTCAAGCTAAGGCAAAGTGTACAAAGCAACTGTGTTATGTTCAAGATGAAATTTTAAGTCAGACTGATTTAGTTGTGATTCTCAAAGCATTTTGATTGGATAGTTAATATTGCTGTAAAATTATTATTGGCTGCTTGAGTTTTAGTTAAGTTTACATCACTGGAATTACGTAAATGCATGCTTTGAGAAATAGTCATTATATGACAGATTTTTCTGGAAATGACACACTTCAAATAGATGTTGCTATTTTTAGAATAGAGAAGGGAGATTTTATGCTGTTAATTTAATCTTTTATATATTCTGTAATTTTTTTACATATATATATACTATTTTATATTATTCGGACACATTTCAAGGTGCTGGTGTGTATGCCTAAAATTTCATGACTATTTTTAAACGCATGTTTACAACTGTTTCCTCTCTCTTCCCCCAAAGTTGGGCTTTCAGCCAACTTCGGCTTGGCCACAACTAAGGCCAGAAGTGGTAGCCACTTTATTATAGAAGCACCTAATAGGTGGGCCACCTCTGCCTCCTATGAAAGGATGGACAACTACAACCATGCCTTCTCTGGGATTTGAACCCAGGCACTTTGCTATTGTAGTCGGCTTCCTTAAACACTGTACTGTCTGGACGGCGACTACTGACTGTGTGGAAGGATAATTTCGATACATGATATATAGAGGGCTGTTTGTACTGATGTCATATACTGTGCTATAAAATCTCTGCAAAACTGTAAAAGTTTCTTCAGTTTTGGCTGAACGTTTATATTATGTATGTAGGGTCTTCAAGGTAAATGTTATTTCAAAGTAAAGCAAAAAAAAATAGTAATAATAATAATAATAATAAGTAAATAAATAATTTTTAGATTATTAGTTTTAGTAATTATGTTGGTAAGTGTGCAAACCGAAACTGTGCCAGTTTTATCTTTGCTGTTTGAAACTGTTAGAATGCTAAAAATTATCTTCTACGAACTGCTGCAGTCTCAAAATGTGATAATGTTAAATCCTTATTATGGATATGCTGATAGTTATTTTCTTAGATATGTTTCTTAAACATATTTTCTTAAAATTTTTATTTCAGTTGGTTTGACAATTCAGTTAGTTCTTGTAAATAGTGCATGCTTGTAATATTGGGTATTCTAAAGATGTTGTGATAGCTAGAAAATATCTACATCATCAGAAGTTAAATCATGTTATTATATTCTCATCGTGAGAGTTTTGTTTTAACATATGGCATGTGTAGTAATTCATTGCATTTTGTATTGCCCCTAATAGATTTACATGCCATATCTTACTGTTAAGATTCATATTTCTTTGCAGTATTTGTACAATATTAAAAATCTGTAATGATCCTTGCATTGGTGCTGTATTGCTGAAACATTAGTGTAAATATTTTTAACTATTTTAGTTATTTAAATATATATATTATTTACTGTTTTGTTTTAATATTATGTAGCTGGTGTTGAAATTCCTGAAGGTGTTGATCCTTCATTTTTGGCTGCTTTACCTGACAACATTAGGCAAGAAGTGATAGCTGAACAATTACGTCTCCAGCGTTTAAGGCAAAGAACAGAAGCAGTCACAAGTGAAAGTTCTAGCGAAGGCACTTCTTTCACTGAAGTAAATCCAGAATTTTTAGCAGCATTGCCACCAAGCATACAGGAAGAGGTTAGCATTTCTTAATACTCTGAGTACTGAAAAAATATTTCAAATTAAGTAAGGTAGATGAATATTTATTATAAATTGTTTTATGTTTGATTTTCTGATTATTCCGCTTCAAAATAATTTGGGAAAAAAATGTTAAATTTATATATGATCTGCCAATAAATAACCAGTGGTTTTGTCTTTGGTAAGTCCTGAATTTGCTTTTCACATGCCAATTAATGTTATAAATTAAATTTGATAACAATATAAATGCTGTAAGTCTGTTTTTGGATTATCATTCGGCTGGGACATTCTTTCGGCTGTTGTATGCCAAACTTAACAGTGAAACAAATGCGAAAACCTCAGCATCTGTAATCATAATGTAAGTAAATGAAATATTTTTGCGTTAGTAAACAAGTTACTGGTAAGATTGACTTTCTGTATATTAATAAAATGGTTTTAAGTAGTGAAAACTAGTAATTCTTTTGTGTAGATGTTTGATTATTTAAAATAGTCTTGAAAATTTTAAAAGAATGGTATTTTGGTATGTGTTCCGGATGTACTTCATTTTTGATTGTATTTGCAAGATGCATGATTATTTAATGCAATACGAAGATTATTATTTAATCCATTATTCATTACTGACATATTGGCCTTTTTTCACTTTTTGGATGTGTATATAACATTGAATCTTTTGCTGCATTGGAAGTTTAGTGAGATGTGATTAATTTAGTGGTTAGAAACCACTTGAGTTGTAATCAGATCTCAGTTCGATTATAATTGGAAAAACTGAAGTAATGTTGTTTACTCAGTATGTCAACATTGCTTAAAATACTTTGGTAATTCATGATTTAATCTCTTTGGAAAAGTGATGTTGCTTTTAGAAACTGAATTTTTATCTGCAGCCTGTGTGAAATATACTAAAGCAGCAATTTTATAAGGAATTGATAGTAAAGGTACAAAGGTTAGAATGGTATTGTGTTTGTAAAATATTAAAATTGTAAGCAAGCACGTACATTGGAGTCAACTTGATAATTCTTTAAGTATTTAGGAGTGTGCATTCAGTAGTAGTGAATTAGCTTATTGCAAGCAGAGTTCAACAACAAGCAAAGTGTTACCTTAATCACTTATAAACATTGTTTTTGAAAAAAAGTATTTTCTCTGTTGTTGCACTGAAAATTCTGCATGACTGTTAAACTTAGTTTTATGCTGTTTTAGTAGTACTGTTGAATTTTACAGAAGTTCCGTTGTACATTCTATTGTTTTTTATGGGATCATAAAATAGGGAACATATATGGAAAGAAGCAGACTCATAAAGAGATTTTGAAAACAATATGACATTTTATCTGATGGTGCTATTTTATCTTTATTTTGTCATCCTATGCATCTTGATAAGCATTGAATATAAAGTGTGAATCAAAATATAGATCTGTTCAGAAACAGGTTATGTGAGTATTATTTACCTGAATAAAATGTAGGGCTATTTCATCTATCAGAGTGAATATATTGTTATTATTCTGGGTCTCAGTTGCATGTTTCTAAATTGTTTTTCTTGTGTTGAGTGTCATTTAATGTTAAAAGTGAACAGTGGCATTTCAGTTATTCTGACACTGCTGTGTATCTGGATATTTAATCCATTAATGCACTAATAAGAATTCAGAAAGTGTTCTTTGAAACACTTTCTTTATTTGAATTTAAAACTGTATCGAACATATTCTATTATATCTTAAAACCAATTCTTTAATGGATTTACTCAAGTACATGGCAATAATTTTGTTCAGTACAATCAAGTTAACTTTATTGAGTGCATGAGGAGGTTAAAAAGTTCATGCGAATGTCTGAATATCCACGTAACAGAATGACACTTTTGTTCTGTGCACCAGGTGCTTACTTATTGCAGTGCGATGAATGGAATTGCGATTAATGGAATTGTTTTGTGTTTTATTTCATCGAAGATTATATATTTCTAGAACAGTTGTTTCCATAAAGGAACACAGTATTTGTTCACTAAGCAAAACAGTGAAACTGGTTTCGACTTGCTGTAACAACTCTGATACTTTCAACTGAAATAAACTTGTCAATTATTAGTGTAAGTGCTGCTTTACAAGATAACAGCATGCCCAAAAAAACACTGGATAAGGAATTCATGTTATATGATTTCAGTTGTTTAGAGTAAGGTGTTACAGTTAAGCAGTGACTCGCAGATTAAACTAGGACCAGTTGTCTGTATGTGTAACAATATTTTTTTCATAAAGGTTTATATGCTGCTTGATTTCTGAATATCTTAAGGTAATTTGTTATGCACGTTTATAGATTTAGCGCTAAATTAGTTTATAGCTTTTTGAAAAAAGAAGTAAAAGCATGTGAATAAATGAACAAACAGCATCAGTTTATTTGCCATAGAAAGCAGAACAAGTGAATCAGGATAACTGGAATACTACTGGTTGTTTTTTTAAGAGAATATGCAATGTTTTTCATACTTAATTTCTTTCATCATTATATTGTTTTTATGATAACTTTTATTTAATTAATGTTTTTTATATTTATGTGCACAGGGACTGAGAACATGAAATAATAGTGTTGCTAAATATTTGATTGTTTTGACGCTATTCGCTGAAAGTATAGTTTTCTTTTATTATTCTCCTGCCTTCTGCGTGTGTCTGACAGAGAGTAAAATCAGATACATATAGCAGTGTTTAAATTATTGTTCTTTTATCCCCAAGACAATAAAATTGTAGATTGTTTTTTGCTTTTATGTTTGCATGAAATTTGAGTCTGTTTGAATCATTTCAACAGTTCTTGTAACTTCTAAGCTAGCTGTTTTATTGCAGTGCTTAGTTGCTTATGTTAATAATAATTAAAATATATTTTGTGAATTGTGCAGCATGTTTTTATTTCATATTCTAATTTTAAACATTTAATTTGGGGGTGTGCTTTCTGTGTGATAAGGTTAAAGTTCTTTTGAAAATAAGTAAAAACTGATTGAAAGGTGTTTTGCCAGTTTCAGTATTTTGCTCTAGAAATTACAGCAATGTCTGTCTAATGATATTTGTGGTGCTAGATTGCTTAGAAAGCCAATGCTGTGTTAATATTTCTTGCATTATCATGTATTTTATGCTTAGTGCCTAACACTACTGTATTGAATTGTGCGCACGTTTGTGACAAAATAATTCTGGAACAAATTATGCAGTTTTTTGCATAGCATTTTGATTCTAATGTTTTCCACATTTTTGTTTTCAAGAGTGAATATGATCTTTGAAGCTTTCATATCAAGACTTGTTTTTCATTTATTCTGCATATATTGGCATTAGCATGCATGCTGATTGTTAGATTTTACAATATGGCTCCATCACCATAACGTGTAACATTTCTTAGTTGTTTCCTAGAAGCAGTGAATGCAAGTACTAGTCTAAATTTGTGAAGGAAGAATTGTGCTGTTTTTACAAAAATTTCAGTAAAAATTAATTTTTATTTTTTTCTCTTAAGTATTTCTGTATCACATGTTCGATTCTTGTGTCTGCTGGTGTATTAGATCTTTCTAAATGATCAGATTGTAAGGCCTTCTTTTGTATAGAGTAGTGAATACAGAAATGTAACATCTAAATTTTTGAAAAAGTATTCAGAGTACTATCTTAGCAAGCATGCAAGTCGTTGCTAGAGGCCAGAAAAAGAGTCAGACTTTGTTTTGTGCTGCAGAAATGTATTGCTTTGTATTTTTGTAGAGACATTTCTCAGTGTCTAGATATAAATATGGAGGGCACATATTAATTTATGGTTTTGCAAGGTTATTTCTCAGTGATAATGTGCTGTTGACTGGTAAATGAGTAAAAACTTCACAATAACATGTTGCCCATTTTGCAGTGTTATGATTTCATTTAATAGCCTGGATTTTACTACTGGCATTTCTTTTGCACTTGTTTCTGACTTTTTTCCAAGGCAGAATGGTAAAAATTATATTTATGGTAGGTAAGAATTCAGCCATGAAGGAATTATGGTTTTAGTTATTACAGGAATAAGAGTTTGGTTTCAGCTTGGAGTAATGAGTAAAGCATTTGTCAGATTTATTTAAAATTGTGGCAAATGTTCATCTGGCCTTTGTGTTTTCACTTTTATTCCCCATTTTCTTTTTTAATATTACATGTTGTTTAAGGCTGAGTTTTTGTATTTTGTAGAGTATTGGTGGAGGCAACTTATTTTTGTGTTGCTAATTCTTTTATGACACTATTAAATTAATTGAAGATGATATTAAAGATCACTTTGGAAATAGTATAAAGTTAGGTTTGAAGTGCAGGGCTAGCAACAAGAGTTTCATATCTTGTTTTTTATGCCAAAGCAGATTGTGTTAGACAAGATATATATAGCCATGAATGTGTCATTCTAAGATAGAAATTACATCATATAGATTCCACAGACATCTGGCTAAACTTACACATTAGTTTGAAATGGCTTTACAGTTCAAAATGTGTGTCAGGATGACATTGAATGCCCACTTAGATTGAAAGGGTAACATAAGTTTTGCTATTTCATAAAGTTCCGTCTGTGATTTCCATTTGATGGAGACTAGTACGAGATGTGACTTGCTACTTTTAGCTCTTATATAATATTTAGAAGGATGAGATATCAATTAGGGAAATTTCTAGTTTATTCTAAGCATAATAGAATTAAAATCATGCAGTTTCTACTGGTCATGTTGCAAAAGCATATGAACTGTGAAAATCTGTTGTTGACCCTCTAATGGCCTATTGCTTAGGACCGTTGAATACTGTTAATTTCACTGGCGTTTGAATCCAGCCAAACTACATTGGCAGTTTGGTTGGTTTTCACCATGTATGACAAGAATGCTAGCCAACTCCCCTTAGAAAGTCCTCCTTGAAGGCATTTCTTTTTTTTTTTTTTTTTTTTTTTTTTTGAGATCGCGGATGTGTGTTTTGCATTCAGATAACTACTGTATACAAGTCCTGAAGCAACATGTTATGTTAATACTGTGCTTCTACATGATAGCTAGATTATTGTACAGAAAAGAA